GAAATGAAAATATTACTAAAATCAGACCCGTATTCCGAAATAAAAACTATTTTATCACTCTCTTCTAAAGTATAAATCCCTTGTCGAAATCGCCGGAGATAATTATAATCCATAAACACTTCACGCTCAGGGCTAAATAAATGTAATCCCTCAGCTGGCGCTTCGGGATTACATGTTAACACAAAACTCGTGCGCTGCGCGCACTCGTATGTGTTTATCAGATCATCCCGCTAGCGCGGGATGATCTGTTATATAAACCCTTTGCGTGGCGGGTTTATGTTATTATAAGTCTTTTTAAATGTGCTACTGTCGAAGCCTAGCTTCATGGTATGGTTGCAGCACGATTTTCATTAAGAGGTCCTTTTAACATGGAACGTTATTGGAACTTTACCTGCTAAGCTTATATTCAAATTTTCATCCAAAATTGACAAAAAATGGCTGAGGACCGAGGATGTATCATTCAGGAACTGAAAAAAAACAACTAATTAACATCATAACATTGTCAGAAAATTAGAAAATAGTGAACTTACCTCGTTATTAAACTTGGCGACTACTAATCCAGTACTTTTATTACTTGGACGTCCATCTGAACCGTACAAAACAAACTGAATTTGTCCTTCTAAAAAACATGTGCTTATTTTATTAATATTATCTAAAGTTTATTATTATTATTACTTGAATTATACTTATGCTGATCGACCAAGATCAAGAAAATAAACCACTGAAACAAAATTAGAGCCATGATTATTTATTTTTTTGCTCAGTTGAAAATTACAGGAAAGGAAACTAACCTTCTTGATCAGTGTACGGGAGCAGTGTTAGAACAAGGACTAGATTAACTAGTAGAGGTTTCATTGCCCTGAACAGGGACAATGTATTTAGGTATTTTGTACAATGTCGGGTTTATTGAACCTTGAAATGGCTGAATCAGAATACTACCTGTGTGTAATCTGAACGTAGGATAATATAATTCGGTATCATGAAATATTAATGTTACTAACCAGTTTTACCGATAAGATCGAGTAACCGACACAGTGGAGAAGTAGTATGATCAATTTCGTTAACCAAAACCTAGGGAGGAATAGAAACTATAAGTACGTGTACAAAAACAATTTGAAAGTATTTTACAGAACTCTTGTTTTTTTCTTCATCTATTTTTCACCGACCTTATTGTTATTCTAAGGTGAGAATAATTACAAGTTAGAACCGTGAAAATGTTAGTTAAGAAAACCAAATACGTAGTAATAAGGGTCGATTTAATGTTTTCAATATCATGAAAAGTTAAACATTTAAATCATGAGCTACCTGCTATAATGAAACTCTTTTAACGTATGGTCTCTCTAAGTCTAAAAACTGGTATGTTGTTTTGAGATTGCAACCTTAGCGACGCTTGTAACTTAAATTGTAAAGTAAAACGTTACACGTTAGTTTAGGATTTTTTACTTATACAGCCGCATACAAATACGATTAGTACCCACAAAATTATGAAAAAATTTTACGTGCTCAAATAATACAGCTAGTTTTATCTGGGGTATTGAGTATCGACAGTCATTAGTTTCTTGTGCACAGATAAAATTGCTTACCATGATATGTGATATCACAATAGAGTTATCCGATAGAATATTATAAAAGGTCTCCTTTGATAAATCGAGCCTTATCTGTCACTTTGAAGCTTTTTAATAGAGCTCTATAACTATAACGTCTGATCGCTAGTTTCTTTTGTAGATTAGCAATGGTTTGTATCAAGTTGTCACAAAGAATGTCATCAAAAATTTAATAAGAATAGTACAGCGGATCTGTCACATGCTTCTTTTATCGCACACCATATTTAGATCTCGATCAAATGCACCCCAATATATTATCTACCCCTTTATTTATCTAAAATCTTCAAGATGGATCATGGAACTAAGGGTTTAGTAACTTAGGGTTTACTAGGGCAATCCAGTTAGGTGAAAATACTCACTCCTGAAATTTATAAAACCTTAAGGGGGGGGGGTTCACCCTGATTTTTTTGTGAAACTTGGTTTCGAGATAGCAGTTGACCAACAAACTAGGACCGGTGACCAAACTTTTGAGGGGGTCCCGGACCCCAACCGCCAAACGGTGCCCGCGGGGCAGCCACGCCCATATTTGGTCCAAATTAGGCCCAATTTAGCCAAATACCCTCAACATGCCCAAAACCAAGATTTTAGGTGCTTTACTTGTAGCTAGTGGTCCCCTGAACTCGTATATGAATTTTCATCAAGATTGGACAAAAAATGACTGAGTTATGAGCCAAAAACCATATGCCCATATTTGGGTATACGCACCAAATTTGGTCGATTTAGGCCCATAAATTGGTCAAATATCAATATTTTTGAATGAAGCCAACCTTATATGGAAGGTAAGCCTATACTACACATTCTCTATGATTATCAGCTCAATATCTAACTAACTGTGGATTCTGTGTTCAATTAATTGCAAAAAATGAACAAAATCGCCCATATCTCAGTTCGCGATATTTGCGAAACTGATTTCGTTCAAAACAATATAACTCAATAGGGTTTCAATATTTTTACATGAAATTTTCAGAATCAACGTAGAATCGCATTTCGACCTTAAGTTTTAATATGGAATTTTGAGTTAGGCCTTTAAAAAAATTTGGCGGCCAAATTCTGAAAAATGCCCGGCAAATTTCAGAATTTGGCCGCCAAATTTTTTTAAAGGCCTAACTCAAAATTCCATATTAAAACTTAAGGTCGAAATGCGATTCTACGTTGATTCTGAAAATTTCATGTAAAAATATTGAAAGCCTATTGAGTTCTATTGTTTTGAACGAAATCAGTTTTGCAAATATCGCGAACTGAGATATGGGCGATTTTGTTCATTTTTTGCGATTAATTGAACACAGAATCCACAGTTAGTTATGAGTTAGATATTGAGCTGATAATCATAGAGAATGTGTAGTATAGGCTTACCTTCCATATAAGGTTGGTTTCATTCAAAAATATTGATATTTGACCAATTTATGGGCCAAAATCGACCAAATTTGGTGCGTATACCCAAATACATAGATGCGGAGTTCGTTGATTTTTGGCGTAGAGTTCGTGGAGTTCGTTCAAAATTTGGAGTTCGTTAGAGTTCGTTGGAGTTCGTTAGTCAATTTTTCAAAAAAAAACATGGAAAATGTTTTTTTTTAAAAGTAATCAGCTCAGGAGTGCAAAGAATTAGCAAAGTAAGAAATTAGAAATCCAATTCCAACTGTACGATCTTGGCAGGCGTTATCACGTACCAAACTATGCATACAGATAACTATAAACTGTACATTATTATATCAACTTTACTGTAGTACTGTACACTGTCTACTTTACTGCTGAAAGTTGTACCTACAATGACATTTGAATCATCAACTATACCTATAAGTCTATACACAGTGCACCTCAATTTCAAATAGTTCAGTCTGCTGTACATGGCAAAATAAAATGTATACATCATACATGAACACTGAATGTACAATGTACATTCGGTGTGATCACAGCTGTTTACAGCAGAAGAAAACGAAACGCAACGCCAGAAGTACAAGTTGAAGTTTTCTGCAACGTGTCCAGGGAACGTGCGCGCGCAAACTATTGGCGCCAGAATTTCCAGTCGATCGACCAGTCCTTGTACTGTGAAATGTACAGTGTACACGCGACGCGTGGTAGAAGTTTCGAGTACCAATATATTTAGTTGTTTTACAATCGTATGTTATGTGTTGAATTGGCTGAATTGTAAATACAATTTCTGTTTAATTTCATTTTACGTAAGTTGTACAAAACGAACTCCTCAAGAGTTCGTAATTTTGGGTTGATGAGTTCGTAGAGTTCGTTGTCACTGAGGAGTTCGTAGAGTTCGTACGTATCATCTATGCCCAAATATGGGCATATGGTTTTTGGCTCATAACTCAGTCATTTTTTGTCCAATCTGGATGAAAATTCATATACGAGTTCAGTAGACCACTAGCTACAAGTAAAGCACCTAAAATCTTGGTTTTGGGCATGTTGAGGGTATTTGGCTAAATTGGGCCTAATTTGGACCAAATATGGGCGTGGCTGCCCCGTGGGCACCGTTTGGCGGTTGGGGTCCGGGACCCCCTCAAAAGTTTGGTCACCGGTCCTAGTTTGTTGGTCAACTGCTATCTCGAAACCAAGTTTCACAAAAAAATCAGGGTGAACCCCCCCCCCCCCCCCCCCCCCCTTAAATTTGAGTCTTGACTCGTGATTCTCGGGTAAATTAGCTAATTTTTTGGCTCACTGGCTCAGATTAATGGATTATGGTTGCAGTTCACACGATAAACGCTTTTTAAAGCCTTCTTATTGATCTGATCCTTGAATGAATTAATTCCCGATAATATTCCTATAAATAAACTGATCCCTGTTGTCCGACTGTTATCTGAGGCGCGGTGGTGATTGGAAACGCTTGTTGGGTATAAAACCACTAAAAACTAGACGTCGCCATCGTCATGTTATCATTCTATGAGAAGGTACGTAAGATTGGAAACGCTAACTTTTCAAAGCTTCAACTTTGAGTCCAACAGTTAGTTAATTGCGAACTCACCTTGAAGTTCCCTGGCAACGATACCCTACACCTTAATTGGTCTTTGATACGTAATACGTACACGAGCTACGTGTAAAAATCATTTAATCACATAATCCTTTTTAAAACAAGGAGTCAAACAATACTGTGATTCAAGGTGGAAACGGTAAACCGTTTCTGGGCGTTTCTATACATATACATATTATAAATATTATACATATACATATTATACATATACATAATATTATAATGCTCTCTATTTATAATTGTACACCCTCTGTGGTACACCCTGTATATAGCTATAGAAATACCACAACAATAAGATAAATCTCGTAAGTACTAAGCATGCATGCCTTACATGGCTCTTCCATTTCATACTCCGATCCTCCTCTTTTTAATTACAATTTCCCGTTGAATAACTAGTTTAAGAAGTGAGATACCAAATCAAACGTTTTCAAGATGAAGATACTCAACACTGATGACTGATGACTGAACAGTGAACATGGATGACCGATCAGAAAAAAGTAGAACTCAATGATCTTGATATACATGAAAATATCATGGCGTTCATCAAAAGAGGCGTGTCTGACAGCCACTGCCACAATCAATACTCTTAATTTAATATTTTACACGGTATCACCAAGGTCGACAAATAATTGATCATCATTTTCTTCTCGCTGTGAGTTCGTTTGAACTCTTGGCCTGGTTATCTTCAGTAATACTAGATTTGCAGGGTATTCTTATTGATGTTTCTGTCCATTAACAATTGCCGAAAACAAGGTCACAGTCCCTGATTAAAATAATTCCGATCTTGACGCTATGTTGAAAGGAGATTTAGGGGGTTTTTGTTGTTTGTGCAAATTGGTCGTCTTCTATCGGGCAGTCATTATTCTTGCAAGCATCTCGAAATCTATTCTACCGTCATCGTTTGAATCTCCTGAAAAGATGTTAGGTTGAGCGAGAACAGCGGACGAAATGTTCCGTGGTCTAAGGGATAAAATAAAGCTGCAACAAAACTATAGTTACACGGAAACAAATCTCACCCTCTTTGATCATATCATCCAAGTCGTCATCACTAAGTTTCTCTCCAAGAGTCGTCAGAACGTTTCTCATCTCAGCACTGTTTACGTACCCGAATCCCTCAGGGTCGAGAATCTTGAACGCTTCTAATAACTCTTCCTCGGCATCAGTTTCTGACATATTTTTCACCTGAAAGATCATTCTATTAATACAATGATGGACATAATATTGGATATAATGGTACCTGCTGAGTGTTGCCCAATCAAGTGCGTGTGCTTAATGTACATTTGCATTGTACAAGCGTATCAATTAAAGTGACGTTAAGAGTAAATGTTAAATAAATGACTTACTAGTATTTCGATGAATTCTGGAAAATCAACTTTACCACCATGTCCATTCTCGACCTCCTGAACGACTTCTGATAACTGGGACTCTGTAGGATGCTGGTACAAAGCTCTCATTGCGTCACCTGAGGTATCACTATCAGAACATGAACAGTCAGACGAATAACAATGATATAACAATTTCTATCGAACTGTTGCATCGCAGAAAGTACGTAATGTGGGGGGATGACTATGAGCACCGCACCAGACAAATACAATGCCTGTTTTCAGGGGGAAATTAAATCAATAAACAACGGTTTGGTAGAATGTAAAGGATGGTAAAGGTTTACTGCCACTGGGCCGCGCTCAGCCTGTCATTCCGCCGAATCTCTATTTATGAACATAAATATAATAGCCTGAGGTCCCCAGGTAAGGTAAAGGTGTAATCAAACATCTAAAAATAGCAATATAGTAACCTAGGTCGGAGGAAAGAATAGTGCCGTCCCCATCTTTCTGGAACATGGTGAACACCTCCTTAAACTCTGATATCTGCTCTTCGGTTAATTTGTCTGCCATGTTGCCCTGCATGTTTTGGAGGAGACTAGTTAACTATATCATGTGCTCGATAAGTTCAATTTTGTTCCTAATTTTAATGACAAAAAACGTGGTTGAACCTAAATCGAAACTATCTCAGTAGACTAGATTGATAAAAGAAATAGCTATCAAGCCGGCAACTGAAAGCAAATAAAGCTTAGCGTGCAGAATACTGTTCTCGTCATGCAGGCACTACATTTCTTACCATTGTTTAATGTTGTGTACACGGTGCAGATGGTGATTGAGTCAAATACAGTCACAGTCACAAAATAATCAGCAGATTGGAGTTTAAGAATGAAGATTGGAAGGAAGTTAATAATATAAACGTTTTTCTTACCGTAGATATTCCGAGGAGAAATTGTTTCGGCTTGAGTGACATGATCAGGAACTTCTTCAGTAGATGATCGGGGAGTGAGTCGTATGTTGCCATAGTAGTCGGTCACTGTGATCAGAGACACAAAACAGATAAGCAGCTGCCTGATAGGGTTCTAAGTCAAAACATCGTGGAAACAAATATTAAATGTAATATAACAGCTTCGAAAAGGTACCGGACTTGAAAAGTTGAAAACACAAAGAAGGTTTATTATGGCTTATAACAGAAAAAGCTTAAAAGGACATGTTCGAGACTAGGACTCAGAAGCCGCTTTAAATCTTGCATTTATCCTTGGACTAGACCAGTAGACCGTGATGATCCAGCTATATGGCATTAGTATCTTAACTGTTCGCACTAAATGTTCAGATAGTTCAGTTATGTACTGTTTTATAAATTGAATAAACGGAGAGCAGTGAACTTGAAGCAAGACAGACACAAGTTTGGTAACCAAAGATCAAAGACGTTCTATCGGGAAAATTGAACCAACTTCATGGTTTTGAGTTGTATTACACACTAAACTGTGAACAGGCTTTTTAATTGTTATCGTATTTACTGTATAGTGTCATCAGTGTAACTGTAAGATGGCTCTGAGGTTGAAGTATCTAGGACGGTTTTAATAATAATACACATGAAAGGGGGAAAAGTCATATTTTCAGGAAAATTCAAACTTTCCTTGTAGTCCTACATCGCATCATAGGAGTTTAGAAGCCTTTGGCGCCAGCCTTCTCTCTTCACCATATCATATAAACATTTAAGCATGAGATCTCCAGGTCCAGATAAGTATATAGTCTAAATAGCTCTTAGTAAACAAACTATATATAATATCATATATTTTATCTAAATATTTTCAAACAATACATAATTATACAGAATTGAATGCTTCTAAATAAACCCAAATATAAAAGGAAAAACCAATAGCCCTAATTTCCAGTATCCCAGTATATCGAAACCCAAACTATGTATTGAAAGAGGGGTAACCATTAACCAAAACACGGTAGTGTGCAGTAAGAAATACCACACCCGCAAAAACATTGGGCCCTAGCAAAAAAAAATAATCAATGAATCAAAACATATAATATTGTATTTATAAAAAATATATAACTCTCAATACAAGGTTCCTTCTCTGAGCTAACGACTCTAAAGTTCCTGATTGAGAGAACATTGATCAATTGTTAAGACAATTAATCTATATTATAGGTTTATAACATACCTTTGCGAACACAATATGGACAAAAACTCATAAGGGTAAAGGAAATATTTCTAAGAACATAGTGATAGTGAAAAACTTATACAAAGGATGCCATAATGCTGGCAACATGCTGCAACCTCTAAGTAGCCACCTCTAAGTCGTACACAAACCAACTAACAAGTCATTACTCTATGCGATTTTCGAGATTTCCGTCACGATGTTGCCTAGTTTGGTTTGTCGCGGCGCCGACAAGCCTAAATAATCGCGATTTTCTTTTGTCCTTATACAATCATAATACATATTTGACTTTTCCTGAGGACTCCAAATATATTTCTAACAGTAGCTATGAGTTTTTCGTGTGCGCTAGTCAGGGCCTGGAGACAATTTGCTTTAGCAAGTTGTGCCAATCAGATCCAGCTTAACAAGTCTTTGGGGTTGTTCCTGAGACTATGAAAAACACATTCCTGCAGAGAAATTCTTGTGGCAAATTTGTTCCCAGATTTTATTCACAATGCCCTATAATTATACGCTGTACATCACGATCGAGCATTACATTTGTGATGAAAATTATGAAGAGACATCATGCACTAAAAATTTTAGATGTGAGCGCTGAGGTCGGCCCTCAGGCCCTGGTGAGCTATTCCCAGGGTTTAAACAGTATGTTGAAATGTTATAGGACATTATATTATTATTGTTATATCATAATTTATTTTAACATACTCGTCACCTTTACTGTTAAGGAAGCTGGTATGTAGAAACCTTATGGTCACGGTAGAATTATAGAATACCAATAGTATTGAATATTACTACCTGTACAGGGGGGGGGGGGGGAAGGCACTGTACAAGTATAAAGTACAGATATGATGGGTCTTATGGCATTTTTAGAGGCCACACCCAATCAATATTGAATTGCTTCTACTGGTGTTTCGAACATCCTCGAAAATCCATTTTAACATAATATGGCAATACTCAATAGATCATCAAATGTAGAATATGATCTGTACTAAAAAGAAGACGCGAAACGGATTTAAATGACAAGATTATCAAGCAATTTGCCAAATTTATCAAACTTTATAATATGTTAAGAAATAGGTTTACTGAATAGTTACCTTTTGATGTGGTTAGCGCAGAATTCTATTGTGGAACTTAATATTTTAACCTCCTGTTTGTATATATTATTTTTGGAACGTCATAATTTTAGTTCCTATAGTATTAGTTTAACTTGCCTACCCTTGTAATTTTTAATCAGTAACCTTGGTAAAAGTGCCGAAACGTAAATTATTTTCATTTAATTTACACTATAGTTATTTGTTTTGTTTCACTTTGTCTGTCGAGGGCCTCGATACTTCCTACTAAACACTACAATAACTTGATTTGATATATTTCTTGAATGAGTGAAAATAGCAAGTCATGCCAGAGTACCAGTAAGGATTATATTTACATCAATCTCAGTAGTCAGTGACTGAGAAATAAGCCCCAACGTATGTCAACTGACTTTGCCCCCCCCCCCCCCCCTCCCCACATTACTATGTTAGTAGTAATATTCAACACCGACATGTCATCCTTATAGCTACCGAAAGGTTTTTAATTGTCTCTGATGTATACGAAGCCGTTTAGACACTTGAGAGTTATGTTTTGTCGACGCTCTCCTTATATAACACTATTTTTTACTGACCTCTTTGTAGCTGTATAAGTCTAGATTATATGTTATGTGTTGAATTCAACACACTGACCAATTCACATATTATCATATAGTTAACTGCACATATTATTATTTAATAGTTTTCATTTGTGTATGCCGTGATGAGTGATGACAGCGATTAAGGGAATCGCTTAACTATTCGTATTTGAAGTTTCCGGATCTTGAATATAGACATGTATATTTCATAATAGAGCTGGAACATATACACTCGGTTTGTTTAATATTAAGACGGTTAATCTTGACGAAGGCTTCAGCTTCTTTAATTTTTAGCATTTTAAAGGCTTCACCGTCTTTAATTCATCGCAACCCGTCTTTAAATTTGCTGGTAGAAGTATGGTCAGTTTGTGAAATGTGCTTTATTACATCCGATATATTTTGAGACCTGTTGTGGCGTCTTTAATTTTTCAATTTTGAAGCATTGCCGCCTTTATAAAACAAACTGAGTGTATTTTATAATAGAGCTGGAACATATAAATGACGTGACACGTTATTTGTTTCGGTAGTTCAACTTCTAATAAGTTTTGTTAATCGTCTTCATGTATAATAACAGGTTTTGAGTTGTTGGTTTTTCTTCCAATTTGTTACGTGTGATCTCAGCCGGACTGCCGTGTTCCACTTGACAATTGTAACACGTGATCACAGCGGTGACCGACAACTAAGAACCTATCATTCCGGGCTCCCACAGGTACGAGAGTCTGAATTAGTGCAGAAATATATACAGCACAGCTGTGAAATCATTGGACACCTGAATGTTTAAAGTACCTCCAGAGGTTCTTAGTTGTCGGGGATATGTAATGATTGGTTCTTAGTTGTCGGAGCTGATTGGATTCCCCAAGCTAGCATGTTAATTACTTAACAAGGTAAAATTGACAGGTTCTTAGTTGTCCGTCAGGTGTGTGGAGATGGGGTACGTTATCAGTAATCACACGTGTATCACTCAAACTGATCCTGTTTGCTCCTTCAGAATGATTAATGTAAGCAACTATGAACTGACCGAATATTTTAATATTCGGTGACTGAATAGCGAATAGTGAATCGCTAGCTATCCGGTCGACCTGTATACTGAACTTCGGATCCGAAAAGTTTCCGAACCATTCGATAGTTCGGGTTTAAAGAAATAAATATGTGCAAAAATTACAACACCAAGTGTAGACTTCGAAATGGTGCATGTTAATGCTTTAACTTATAATCAACATTTTCAGGGATCGATATTGGCAATCATTTCGATACTAGGTTTGCTACTGAGTGCCTTTGAGATCTATATTCTACGGTTCAAAATCAGACTAGCTGCTTGTCAGGTGTGTTGAACTTGATCTTTAACAGGAACTTATATACGAAATGAATATTGTTATACGGTATCGTATTATTCACATTTAAAGTAGAGAAATCCCGAAAGATCGCAAACTGTCGCGAAGATAATGGAACGGATTTCCAATTTGATCGAAATTAAATAATATTCATGTTGTCTATTTTAATTTCAATAAACAAAGGGATGTTCTTAAATTTGAAAAATTTCAGAATTTGTTTATCATGAACGTGGCATTGAGTGACATTCTAGTTTCAATAGTGGGAACATTTAGAGGCCTGGGGATCATATCCGGAAAGTTTGTGGGGGCACCAAGCAATACTGCCACACAGTTCTGCGTTGTATACGCTATTTGCCTGGCAACCTTAACGTTAGTGATCAAACTTTTTATGTAACTATAATATCATTGCAGAAATTATTATAAGTGTGTACTATTTTCAATACATTACAACCTGTAACCTGTAGTAGTGCTATGTAACCTGTAACCTGTAACCTGTAGCCTGTAACCTGTAACCTGTAACCTGTAACCTGTAACCTGTAACCTGTAACCTGTAACATGTAACCTGTAACCTGTAACTTGTAACCTGTAACCTGTAACCTGTAACCTGTAACCTGTAACCTGTAACCTGTAACCTGTAACCTGTAACCTGTAACCTGTAACCTATAACCTGTAACCTGTAACCTGTAACATGTAACCTGTAACCTGTAACCTGTAACCTGTAACCTGTAACCTGTAACCTGTAACCTGTTACCCACTCTACAGGAACTCAGGAACCCTGACCCTTCTGCCCCTCACAGTGGATAGATTAGTTGCTGTTACCTTCCCTCTACACCACACCTCTGTCATGACAACCCGCAACAGTATAGCCATAATTGTAGGGGGCTGGCTGCCACTCCTCGCTCTGCTCCTTTATGACACCATTGAGTACATGACTGGGGCTATAGCGGTAGGTACAACTGTAATTTAACTATTCCGACTGTATCCTGCAGCTTCTCATGTCATCAAATTGAATAACAACTGGATAGTTGTGGAATGACAGCCTGACAGCATAATTATCTGTGTTATTCAGTTATTGAGTTTGATTGTCTTGTCAAACGGAGTAATTTGTTGACCTTATAATAATTTCAGATAGAGTACCAAGAACGTTACCACAGATGCAGTATAGGGCGCAATTCTCCCATCCCTCACCTGTGTGCCCTCTTCATACCGTTTCTCCTTGTCCTCATTATGTACATTATCATGCTTACCATCATCATCAAAAGCAAAAGGAAGTTTGGATGGTTTCTGGTTATCTCCAGTGGAATTATAGTATCGAGCTTGCTGTCCTATGCACCGACAGTTATTGCGGTGGCCTGGAGTGTTCCCATGACTTACGAAGTGTCGCAGATTTTAACAGTTACTATTTTCTACGTTAATGGGATAATTAACCCTATGGTTTATTTTATGGCTCATCCGAGATCCCGTCAATATGTTACAAAATACTTTGAATCTTAGAGTTTTCGTTGAGTCAGTAGCTGATCTGAGGTGTTTGAAGAAAACTTAAATTTGAAACTTTGAGATCTTCACTTTCTTCTTCGACATTTTGCGTAAAATGCGTAAAAGTTGGCGTCCCAACTTTAAAAATAAATTTTAAAACTGTCATGTTTTTGGGACACCTTTTACCTGGCTCATATATGCACAGTTCTTTCGTTAGACAAGCTATTTAGATAATACTAATAGCAGTAGAGATCGTTTTATTGACAAACAGTTGTTCCATGACGGACGTAACTTTTATTGAGTTTCTAATTCTATAACATTGACCTAATAACTGGAGTCCTTTGTGTTTGTTTCTATGATAATGGTAAAAACTTGTGTTCTGCCGCATTTTCCCCGTGACTTCTGGATGATTTTTTTAAATTTCTGTCAGCGGCAATACTCGTTTTTTATTTTTTGTTTTTTCTCCACTCTAGTTCAATGTTGCAGCGTTTATACAGATTGGCGTTAGAAATTACCCCCGGGTATTTATAATTCAAAATCGTTCTTAAAAGACACCTGTGTACGCAGTACGACATCCAACTTCTCCAAGACAGCCTTAGGTGCAGCCCAACAACTGGAGCTATACATTAACCCATATATTATATTTATGATTCTTACATTTTTATATTTTATATATGGGTGACCTGGTTTTTAGCACAAGATAAGCAGTGACCGGCAAGTTTCCATAAACGATATTTTATTATCGCTTTTTATTAGCGCTTTCTCGGCGCTTTTTTTTTAAACCGTTTACAATCGATTTTTTTACGATTATAAACGGTTAAAAAAATCGCTTATAATCGACTATAATTGATGTAATAATTCAAAAAAGCGCTTTTTTAATTTAAAAGCACTTATAAGCGCGATCATTTATTTACCATATGTTTAATGTTAATTGTTAAGCATCAGTTGCTGCATGATTGGTAAATTGGTATTGTCTGACTCACTGACTGTGCCGTAAATATAAATAATTGTTTTATCAAAGTAATTGTTTTATTAATATCTTACTTTACATTACCAACAATCGTACAAGTTAAAAAAACTGTCGGATCTATATTTGTCACGGGTCCTATTCAGTATTTAATAACCTAAGATCAAATAGTAGCTGATATTTTATTCCACTACTTGTAAAACAGAACTTTCAAATAGCGTAACATAGCGTATTGCGTAACATAGCATAACATAGCGTAACATGTTAACAACAATCTTAATAAAGTAGTTATATATTATATATTAAAGATTGTTTCAATCCAAAGTTTAAGTTTTTTTAATTTTAGTTGCCCTTGTCGGTGAATTCAAAATGAGCTTAATTTGTCTGTTGTATGGCTGGTATGCAAACATGCCCTTAAAGTAAAACTGTTAATAATAAAAAATGATTTCAACTATTCTTGTAAAAATCGGCACAGGGTCACTGACGAGTGACGATGTCACAAGACACCATTGAGATACTCAAAGTTCTATTCCCAAAGGAAGCTTTGATAAACGGAAGATCATCAGAATATAAAAAGATATTTTGGAAGATTTTTGAAGAGGATCTTTTCTGCCGTCCCTTTGACCGAAATTTCGCGGTTTTGAGTTTGACTGAAATTTTGACCAGTGACCAATCAGTGATGTTGGTGAAAGTGACACGAGTCGCCATCAAGGTACTGGAAGCAGTATATCCGGAGAAAATTTGGATGCAATGAAAATTTTGAATATGTCATTGTCCTACCGGTTAGGACATATTCGAATTTCAGCTTTCCGCGACCCAAATTAAACTGTTTTGACTGAAATTTTCTTGAATGACCATCCTACAGGGTCACTGAGGATGGCACAAGACACGATTGAGGTACTAAAAGTTCTATACCCAAAGAAAGGTTCGATTAACGGAAAATCATCAGAATATAAAAAGATATTTTCGAAGAGAAGCTTTTCTGCCGTCCGGCCATTGACCGAAATTTCGCGGTTTTGACTGAAATTTTGATCAGTGACCAATCAGTGAGGTTGATGAAAGTGACACAAGTCGCCATCAAGGTACTGGAAGCCGTATATCCGGAGAAAACTTTGATGCAATGAAAATTTTAATTAGTCCTACCGGTAGGACATATTCGAATTTAAATTTTCCGCGACCCATATTTCACTATTTTGACTGAATTTTTCTTGAATGACTATCTTACAACATTCTCCTCACTCCACAGGGCTTAGTGCTCAACATACAGTACGACTACATCTGCTGGTGTCATTGCAGTTGGTTCGTGTTTACAACCTCTACGTAATGATACACTAGGAAGTGGGTTTATTTATATTGTTTGCATTACACCTTTGATGTAGCTAAACGATGTGATTTTATGTTTATCGTGTGCTTTCGCTACGTTTGGATAAATATTTTATGTTTCTGCTTAGCTGGCATTTTAAAAAGTAAGGGCTTGTCTTAATTTGACCCTGGTGCCCTTTTGACCCTGGTGCCCTTTATAAAGCTCTGTGAGCAAGATTTTGGAAACAGACACCAGAGCAAATAAATAGAAACAGTTAAGTCAAGATATGCTCTTATTGACACTCTCTCTAGTTCAGGATGAAGAAGCAACAAAACCAGCCTCCAGGGACTATCCTGTGGGGCTACTGGGCGAACACGATGTGTCTAACAGGGGCAGTGTGCCTCTTTCTATCATCCCTCGTCACCTTCCATCCTGTATTTGCCAATAGTAAGAAGGAGGACCCCAGTACAGATACGTATTGGGTCTTTACTGGGCCTTGGGCTTTGTGAGTTATTTTCGCCATTGAGAAACCCTCGATCTGATTTATTCTTTTTTATGGACACGTTCATTTGAGTTTGAGGATATTGGTAAACAAAAATAATAGCGTTTTCGACGATAGTGGCTTAATTTTGACATCTATTAACCTAGCACGTTCAGAAGTTCTGAACATTAGCCACGTAACACATACTCCCATATGCACTGCTCAGAAAGAAAATCTATTGTTGTTAAGCACTATAATGTTTCAAATGTCACATTTTGTGTGACTTAGTTAACTGTAGTTGTCTAATTATCATTCCTTGGTCTGAAATATAGTAGATTAGGTCAATCTAACAATTATGATAAAACATTAGTTAAAGGGCACGGATCGAACGGTTACAAGGCAATATTTGGGTAAATTTGTCACAGTCAGAATACCATACCTCTATTCTTCTGTGAGGTGTCCTCAAAACCCTTTTAACTCATTATTTGATGGTTGATCTACCAATCATAGCCCTAAAATATGTTTTTTCGAATAGTTCGCTAATACAGGCACTTGGTTATTGGGAAATGAGGTTAATTCTGTCACAATATATGGAATTTTAAATTTTTGGGCGAATTATTTATATCTGATTTTGATTTGAAAGGCGGGAAAACTTTATATGATGACAATGCAGTTGATGCAAGTTAAGATCAGTTGATGTTTACATTGTCACAAAAAATGATACGAAATCGTAAATAGGTTAAAAACAATGATTATAGAATGAAATAGTCTCTTATAATAACTCTTATAATAACTGATGTGACAAAGTAAACATTTCTTGCCCCTATTTTGAAGATCTATATATTCTGTAACTCTATTAGAATTCAACATTCTTTCAGAAAAAATTGGTAGAATATTGTCCAGAACATCAGAGCTCAAGTTTAACAATTTTAGGTTAAATTTGTCAAAGTCACTAAAAATGTGACAAAATTAACTTTTCCTGCCCCAACAATTTCAAGATAGTGTGTAAAAATTAGCATAAGCTGCTTTATTACCTATATAAATCAATCCAAACTACAAAAGAATATATGTTAATGTGATGACAATTACCTAACTCTAATAATAACTGATGTGACAAAGTAAACATGTCTTGCCCCTATTTTGGATATCTATAACTCTATTAGAATTCAACATTCTTTCAGAAAAAATTGGTAGAATATTGTCCAGAACATCAGAGCTCAAGTTTAACAATTTTAGGTTAAATTTGTCAAAGTCACTAAAAATGTGACAAAATTAACTTTTCCTGCCCCAACAATTTCAAGATAGTGTGTAAAAATTAGCATAAGCTGCTTTATTACCTATATAAATCAATCCAAACTGCAGAAGAATATATGTTAATGTGATGACAATTACCTAACTCTAATAATAACTGATGTGACAAAGTAAACATGTCTTGCCCCTATTTTGGATATCTATAACTCTATTAGAATTCAACATTCTTTCAGAAACGATTGGTAGAATATTGTCCAGAACATCAGAGCTCAAGTTTAACAATTTTAGGTTAAATTTGTCAAAGTCACTGAAAATGTGACAAAATTAACTTTTCCTGCCCCAAAAATATCAAGATAGTGTGTTAAAATTGGCATAGGATGCTTTATTGCCTATATTAATCGATCCAAACTACGAAAAAGATCTGTTAAGGTGATGACGATTACCTAACTCTTATAATAACTGATGTGACAAAGTAAACATGTCTTGTCCCTATTTTGAAGATCTATACCTCTATTAAAATACTATGTAACTTTATCATCAAAACAATTTCGATAAACTAGTTATTTTGCCAGCAAGGAGCTAACAGAGTTATAATAATTTTGTTGTGACGAAATTACCCTATTTTTGACCATGTTGCGGTAGTTTAATTGTGACACTGTTAACATATTACACCCGATAATGATTTATGTGACTGGCGCATGGTACTAGCAGTGTTGTTTGATCCATAGTACGTAATATAAGGGGTTTAAGCTGGTATATCATTATTTGTTCAATTTCACACATGTTCAGATATCATCAAGATTATGTGACAAAGTAAACTTGTTTGTGCCTCCTGTGTTTTAATTCCTTACGACTATATGCAATATAATAACAATTCCTAGCACTTCCAGGCCATCAAATAAACCTACACTACTCAGCATTGCTTACCAGGGTGCCCTGAACATTCTTCACATATTTTTTTAAATGTGTGACAGAGTAAACCTGAGTGCACCATCTAACGAAAAAAGTCGTCAAATATGTAGGTAATGGTCATATGTACCCATCCAATCAACTGGACACTCAAAAATTTGGTCAAAAACGGCAGCAAGGGGTCCATACTCCATATTTACTCCGTCACATGTTTATAGTGTGACAATGTAACCATTTACGTGCCGGCCGTATTTAAGCGATATCTTATCACCTGATTAAGATATCGTTATGTGACAAAGTTAGCCTAGAGGATGAGACGATTATCCTAACCATCAAGGGTTTGTGTAATTTCATAGTGTGACAAATTCGACTACACTGTGCATTTTAATAGGGTCACTTATATTTACCAATATCCTCAAACTCAAATGAACGTGTCCTTATATGAAAAATAAATTACTTGATAAAAATCCGATCGCTTTTCTATCGATTGATCGAGAATTGTAGGCAAAACAGCTGACGGACTTATATTCACAGAATATGTAGCATTGCAATAATGTTGATTGAGTACCCGATAAGCAAGAGAAGACCTAAAGGTCCGAGAAGAAGGGAGGAGGAAAGACCGTAAGTTATTAAATTTGAAACGAGGGGAATGAAATTATGTGTAATCCTTTTACTTCTGATGCTTATTTGCTTTGCCTTTATGTTGTTTCCTATTTATCAAATCACAAATGTACGCATGGATCTAACACGATGATTAAAAACACGACACGTCTTTGTTAACTGTGGCTATATAATACAATAAACTCAGGTATCAGCTTGAGCTAAAGATTGTTCATCTAGTCTACTACTCCAAGATATTCAGACACTATATCGCTCGATTTGTTCTCTACATAGTGTGAGTTTTATTTATATTCTTCTTTTAAGACAACTCCATTAAGTTCTTGTAACTCGTTTTCTAAAAACGGCTACAAATTAAGCCTTTGTGTTTTTAAGGTTTAAGATAGCCTAGAAATTAGAAGTGTAACAAATAATACTGGTTACCCTCTAGTTCCATGGCCAAATAATACAGTGAAAAAATGTGTGCAAATTTTATTTGTGAAATATAATTATACGGGTGACCTGTTCCATACCCAAATAATTTGCACGAAGTAATCGATACGCGTATTGGTGGTGTCGGACAAGATCAGAACTGCGGCCACACGAGTTTTAATTAGGAAACACAAACAGAAACTTGGGTGCGGGACAACAAAACGCAATTATAATATCGATTAAGACCGCAGCGGCTATATTATTTGAGCGAGAAAAATGTAATACGTGAGCACTGCACGTTCACGATTTTTTTAGCTCAATTAATTGAGTGAATCGAAAAGAGAGAGAGCCAAAAATTGGCCATGGAACTAGAGGGTTAGTTGTTAAATACCTTACTTTCCAGGCTGGTGGTTCCGCTTGTTATGTCCTTCCCTTGTCTTCTTAGTGTCATCTTCATCTTCTTCGGATCCTGTCTTTATTTTATCGTGAGTCGTCTTGTATCTTGAGAATATAAAGGATGGAAGTTATTTTTATTAATTAATCAATCAATTTTATTCAGAATATGCTAACTCGAAGTTCAACCGGTTAAATACAATTAAATTACCAGTTTATAACTTAATGCATGTTATCCTTAGACCCTATTTACTAACCATAAAACCATCATCTGTTGCAGGCAGGGATTGTAAAACAAGAGATGTGGTTTCCAGGGTGGGCCAACAAGGAACAGAAAGTACTGAAGGACCTGGCCCCTCCAAGTCAGCCTCCTCCTCGTCTGCAGGAATCTGTCATCGCCAACCCCTCTGCTAGATAGAGCGAACAATAACAGTATTCGTGTGGTTTCAGTGTGGTTATTGCTGAAGAAGTTTTAAGAATTGTGGTTTTTTACTCCTACAGATTGTGGTTACATTGACTAAATATAAAATCTTAAGCAGCGATTGTGATTAATTGTTATCAGAAGCGATTTCGTCAGAATTATATGGTTTCTTAACTACGACTAGAAGTAAAAGCTTGAATTTTTGTACTACAAATTTAAAGTATGTTTATTGTTTAAGCATGAACAGTTTGAACACGAACGCTGTTGAATTTTCTCGGAAACGTGTTACCATAGAGTAGAAAACACGTGTAAGTATTTGCCACTGGCCCAGCCCATGGCCATATGCCACCTTGCTTGCAGACACGGTCCTTGATAAAATTTGATGGAATTTAGGCTATATACTTATATATCTGATTTCACACAGTAGTGATAATTGTAACCGATCACAATCTTATGTTCCCACGCCAATGATTGTTCTAGTAGTATTAAGCCCACGGTTGTGTCCAGGCCAGCAGTGTGGCTTCATCGTTGTTGTGCTTGACCCAATCATCTCCTTTTAAAATCGCGGGATTGTGACCAGCTATGATTCAAATCATTCTGAATAGTAAGTATTCATACGATATAAGCCACGAGTACTTAAATAGTTAAAATTATACTTACCGATTTAGCTTTACAACGTTCTTGTTTAAAGTCCTACGCTTAAATGCTCGTGCTTGTTTTAAAAGTGCATTCAAACGTACTGTTTTTACTGATCACTCAAATTCGACCGTAACAATTAAAGCTAAATTTCTCCCATGACGATTTACAAGTAAGCCACGCTGAGTCGGACACTCAAAGTGAATTAACATGAAGAGCACACATTGACCTGAAGTGACCGCATGCAGGGTGGATTATATCAATCAAATATATTCGTAATAAACAGCAGCTTTAATAAACAGTGGCAGCTTTGACACGCAACCTTCTGCTGGTTGTCGCAGCACGACTTTACAAGTCTCGCTATAACTCACTTGTTTACATGTGTCTCCTGCTTTTCAAAATAGTTTTCATTTCGCATGCTCGCTGTCTATCGTGAGCTCTTTGTGTTGATTTGAGAATGAGTGTGAGAGTCAGGCCCATACCGATTGAGGAACAGCTCAGGACGTGGACTTTCCCGCTTTATCCGATAAATAGGCGGGTTAATGTCAGACCCAAGATCAACGATCACCAAATACCTGTTATTCAAGGTAGGATAGATCACTCTCTGTATTACTAGTTTTGTATCGTTCTTCTTTATTCCCTGCTATTCGATCAGGTGGCAGTTTGAGTTCGTGAATTACCTCTAGGACCTGGGTGACAGGTGACATTTCAACTTACGTTTAGATGTTTTTCTGCTGCGTTGCAAAGATTTCAAGTGCACGAGAAAATCGAATGTTTTGAAAGCAAACACATTGAATTCTGTTTGTCGCCGAAAAATGATTTGGTTAATTTAAGAAGAGGTCCACTATAGAGTCCCCATGAATAGGCCGGCACATCAAGGGTGAGGTATTACTTCGGCACTATCAAAGTGTTCAGTGTCTCAGTTGGCAATGGTAATATATAAACAGTCTCACAATATTCTAAACAAAATTTGAAAACTGTTTATAGTTTCCATTTACATACCTCTCGTTCGATGAGCAAACCAGACAGTAAACTGAGAAATCACGTATCCATCTTGTTGTGCTTGAGTTCAAAGCAGAGACAAAACTACGAATTCACACAGCCTTCTACACAAATGCTATGCAAATTTCACCATCGCCTTTAACTTTGTCTATTGCATTCGTTACTAATTATTAGCGATATTTGTATCGTTTTAAAAAATTAGCTCGGATCAGATCGTGGCATAAGGTGGCAAATCTCTCCTTGCCTGTGCTTGAGAAATGTTTAAAATCCTGTTTCTGATTATGACATATAAATACGCTATTCACTAATCACAGATTGTGTAAACAAAGTCGTGAATAGGGATTCAGGGTTAAACGACATTAAAACAGTGCCGCTTTGATAAATAAGTCCGATTTTAAAGAAAATTAGCTGCTCAATCCGCGACATTTCATGGTTGGATTAACTTATCGACAAGCAGTTAGTTTTAAACCGCTGGATGTTTCTTGTAAAACACAATGTTATATATCGTATCACAAAACTCATTAGTGTTTCAAGTTGGTTTGTTTTGTTGGCATACAAGGCTTTGTTACAGCAGTATTTTGTGATATCTCAGTTTCTCCTGAGTTATAGTATTAGTAGATGAGAAAGGGCGAAAGGCATGAAAATAATCTGAAACAATCTCATAATTCGAACAAGGGTGGTTGATTTTGCTTGATATACAGTACAACTGCTGATCGATTTCCGACCTGTGGGCATGTATATAAACTCCGAGAGAAGCGATATTGAGCTTCAAAGAGCCATCAAGCGGTACATAAAAGGTAAATAGGCTTCATCTAAGAAAGTTTCTGTCATTTTTGTTCAATTTGATGCTCAGTCCAAAGATTTTACCATGCTCAGCTACTTTATCAGTTACACGAATTTGTTGAGCGAATGTTCAACTTTGCTCTCACAGGCGAAAAACAGGAACGAAAATGGCCAGTTTTGAGAGAATCGAGGGTGGCAAAGGGTATAGCACAATTGCTGATTCTTTTCTTGCACAATGTTTCCATAAATTGCATTTCACGAATTCAATTCCAGCATTCCACTTTTTGAAATTTCTCGCTGACACCATTCTCTGATTATAGCCTTGAGCAGTTCTAGTTTTATCTTTATTTATAGAATAAATCCGGTTGTTTCTTAACGAGGTTGGTAACGTTATCACAATGTCTTGGATTCAAAATTTAAATGTTTTTGGATCAAAGAACAAACTTCTACTGAACAAGAAGTCACGTTGGAGGGTATAACTTCATCATCATTCTAAAAAGTAGTCAATACAATACTAATTTTGTAACTTTTAAAAGTTGTACTTGCAGAAATTCTAAATTTTAAATCCAAGAACATTCGATGAAACTGGAGAATAGTTCAGTGGTTATCTTAGTATGTAGTACATGGGTCACCTGCTTTTTACTTTATCATTTATTCTTTCCTCACAATAGCCTAAATGGACCTGTCTCTTCGGCTGTTATCTCAATTTCATTAATCACTTACAAATTATCTAATATAACTTTTAAGAGCATTTAAAAACATTATAAGCTTATCGTTGCACAGTGCACTAAGAGTTCCATTATACAGGCTCCTGGATTCTGGAACATTTGGACTCTAAATCTTTATAAGATTTCGTTATCAGCTGCATATTATTCAATACGCATATCTGTTATTTTACTTTAACACTTTAATTTTCTTTGCACCGAATATGATCTATTATTAAGCTATGGTTAAACAGTAAGAGCGATAGCTGAAAGTGATAAAGCAGGCCTTTAAAATTTATTAGCACGTCAAAATCAAGCAAAAGAGTGATACCGTGGTAGCCAACAGGCAATGTTTGACATGACCTGCCCAGTTTGCTGTTAAGATGCGTCAGAAACATGAATAAACACCCATCCAGTCAAGAATTATGCTTGCACTGGATGTTTTCGCGTCTTTATGAGGTCTATTTTCAAGCATAAGCTTAAATCATCATAATGCATCTATGATCTAACAAGAGTTACCTGATAAAATTTAGAACAGCAGAGTTTTAATTCATAAACAGAAGTAGTGATAAAATCTTACATAAAGAATAAAGATTGACTCATCCAATATTTTCAGGCAGAAAGTTAAAAGTGCAGGGGAAAGAGGACGAAACGAGTTGTTTCTTTTGTACGAAATCAAAGTCAAGGCCAAGCAGTGCAGCATCCTCAGTTATCCTTAGCCCTAATGTTTTGCTTTCAGCCGGTCAGAGGTAATATCTAAATTTACTTAATTTAAACTATTTGCTAAAACTGTTTATGGATTATTTTATCATTCTATTAACGTTTTACTAATCCGTTATCAGTTGTTTTCGCAGGTTTAACGAAAACCGTCCGAGCAGCAGAAAAGAATGTCGACCAAAACGGCTCACAATAGATGGCCGCCAGACCCCTCTAGCGATAGAATGCTGGCAAACGAACCTGAAGAACCACCAGCTGAACCAATCGCAACCCAGCAGTACGAGCAGCTCCCTAGTGACGAGGACTGTGCTGGAAGATAAATCTCAGCTTAACCGGACTGCTAGTCTGCCAATATTGTTGGAGAAGAAATCTGTCGAGATGAAACCGAGATATGAACCTAAAAGTGAGACTTTAATATGTTTCCGAAAGTGTTGAACTTTCTTCTCTTAAAATATATTAAGAATTCTTCTCATACCATTTGTAAACAATGATATTTCGCCGTAGTTAATTACTGAGTAATGTCATTCCCCAGAACCGATTAGAAAGAGAGTCCAATCAAGGAAAGAAGCTAAATTAGAGCCACCACCACAAGACAAGAGCTCAGAACAGACGGAGATTTCCAAACAACCTACAAAACTTAATGTAAGCATTTTTCACACATTTTGGACTGTTTTTTAGGACGAGGTAATCGTACTCGTAGTAGGAATGATTTAATAGGAGTAGGACCTAAAACCGTATCAGTAAGTCACGAAATCCCGGTCGAACTATTCTAATTAAGGGGTCGTTCACATATTACGTAAGGGGTTACGTTATCACTGAGGGGGAGGGAGGTTTATAAATGATTACGCTACTGTAATTTGGACACAATATTTATGTGTACAACTGATTACGGAGGGGTGAAAAGGGTTCAAATTGGCCAAAAGTGATTACGCAATATGTGAACGGTTCCTAACTGCATATTACCATCGGGATTTATCAATTTTACCTCAGTTTAACTTAAAAACCTCCGTCATGACTTATCCACTTGATCGTTTCAGGGCACAGATAAAGCGATTGATCACAGCATCTCCGTGACTATCACCGATAAACGAACGAGATCAGTTGTTAGAGCATCCAGCGCCTCTGCTCTTAGACCAAGAAAAGCTCACTAATAATAATATGACTGAACTTGATGATCCAACTTAGAATGGCTTCATCCATGATACTCCATACTTTCAACTCTACGAGCTTGGCATCGAGAGATTTATCAGCTGGACTGGTCGATCATGACTGAACAAGAATTTTATAAAAAACACTCCGTGCGTACACAGATCAAGACACGATGTTAAACACACAGAATACACACCGAGGACTGTGGTTGTGAGAAAATGTGGTGAAGAACAGACCAAAATATTGAATGTGAACAGTATTTAACTTAGCAATAACACATCGTTTGTTTGGAATGAATATCGTATTTTGTGTCTGTACAATAGCTATTGCAGTGGGATCCATCGTGAGTGGGGCATGAATTATAACTTGTTCGAATTGCTCGGAAATTAGTGATTAGATTATAAGAAGCAAATGAAAGTTATCAAAATACACTCCCACTCATTTCGTAATCTTCATCGAAATCTAGGATAGGGTGGTATTTGGTTACACTTACAGGACTGAGGACAGCTATTGGAAAAAAACATGCTTGAAAGTTGAAAGTAGGTTTCCTCTATTAAGACTTATTCTAATCTAAGAGTCAGGGCCAAGAGGACAGCATGAATCTTTAGAAGTGAAAATTAAACCAATAACTTGCAAAACGATTCGATACGACAAAATAAAGATAATATAAACACCAAATGCCGTTCATGGCAACATTCACGATCAAATCAGTAATAACTAGAGGGGCCGGGCTGCGCGCGCGGCTTAATCATGCAGCCCGCGCGCACCAAGCAATCAAAGCGCGCGGCAAGAACTATAGGGGATGATTTTTCACTCTATGAACTAGTCGTCGCGCGTGCAGACTATTAACAATTCCTCACGGACTGAAGAGCCCCACCAAACTAAAAACAAGATAGGTGGCTTGGCAAGTAGATTATTGGTTCAATTCTTGACACTGAACAAGGAAAAATCTCATTTCGTAAAACATAACTTATGAAATATACAACTTAAAGATGAACATTAAGAAATCAACACTTCGCAAGTGCACCAGAACAAATTTCTTAAAATTCTGCGAAACTCATATCAAAGTTAGTTCATAGCGAGTTCAGGGTTGTCTGTATGTGATTTTATTGATCAATTCCAGCGACTCTTCTTAGCTTTCGCGGAGGGTGCTTTCGGGGTTGGTGCAGCTGGAGCCTTGAAGCCTGGATTCTGTCCTGGTGTTACAAGCGGCAACGCTGGACCTGAAAACAGAAAAGGGTTAAGTTTAAAATCAAATCATACTAGTGATTATGAGCCCAAATTTTTGCAAAAGATTTTGATACTTATCCCTAAAATATCGATAGTCAACTTACTAGGTGCAGCTGGAGTGGCTTTAGCGAATCCTGCATAACCGCTACTAGCTGGTTTAACAAAAGCCTTGTCTCCTGGTCGGAAACCTTTCTGAATATTATCGCTCGCTTTTGAGAACCGGGACAAGTAGTTTGACTTCATGGCATCTTTCATCTCTGTCGCTCTAGTGCCCTGACCACCGAGCGCGTTCATACCACCAAACTTTTGTCGGGCAGACATTGGACCCTCAATAGCCATAGGAGGGGCTGAACCAGCACCCAACCCTGGTCTCAGTTTCTCATCACCTCTACCAAATCCTTTGCGGGGATTGCCACGCCCTTTCTTGAAGTTAGGATCTTGCATGGCAAGTGCTAGAACATCTCGGGGCACTTCTTGACATGCCATTTCCTGAAGACAGTATTATTTCATTTTATCTTACAAGTAACCCAGGTATATATTTCAAGAATCCCAACAACTTAGAAATTACGGAGAATCCGACAAAAACCAATAGTTTAAACCACCCAAAACTTACCAGATGTTTGACGAGATCGCCACAAAAGGTCTTGTCAGCCTTAGTAAGGAGGGTATACGCAGTGCCCTTCTCGCCCGCACGACCAGTTCTGCCTACTCTGTGTGTATGTGTGTCTATGTCACGTGCTACGTCGTAGTTAATAACTGTTTTTATCTCCTTTATATCCAAACCACGGGCTGAAAAGATTCTTATTTTAAAGAACGGTTTTTTACAGTAGAAAACAATTACATTGAATATATGAAATAAATTAAATCTAGATGATTGACCAAATATAATTACCTGCGACATCAGTAGCGACCAATATCCTAAACTCCTGCTTCTTGAAACTAGACAATATCTCATTTCTCTCATACTGTGACATATCACCGTGTAACAACCCCAGAGAATAATCGAATCTACGGAGTTTGCCAGCCAACTCCTCACTGTTAACCTTCCGAGTAACAAACACCAACACGCTCCCAGACGATGTGAACTCTACCAGACGAGTTTGTAGCCATCTGAACTTGTCCTCCAGTTTGGAGTAGGTGTAGGTGATTTGGGTGACGTCTTGGTTTGCTGAACCGGCTCCGTGCTGCTCTTGGATGTGTATTGGACCTGGGCAAGTGAAATTAGTTGGAAAATCATCACAAAATGGCTATAAAGATAAATAGCGGTCCAGCATTTTATAAACTGTTGAAAACTTTGATAATCTATTAATTAAGTAAGTTGTATTTTATTGCCTTTTAAATTGCAAAGCTCAAGTATTTAACAAAATTCTGACTAACTCTCAAGATGCTGTCGACAGAGCCTTGTTATTTTATTCTTCATAGTCGCACTGAAGAGCAATATTTGGCGATCTGGTCGGCAATGCTGTACGATAGAAGAAACTTGGGGCTCAAAACCAAGATCAAACATACGATCACATTCGTCTAGAACCAAATATGTGACACGTGATAGGGCAACTTTCTTCTTCTTGATGAAATCAATGAGTCGTCCCTGGGGGGGGGGGGGTGAATTGGGAGTAATATATACTGTACCCACTACCCACCCTCCTTCCGTTTATAATAGACTCATAATATCTGATAAGTAACACAACCCGGTTAGTAGAACCAGACTTACAGGGGTAGCGACAATGATCTCACACTTACAGGGTATGATATCACACTTACAGGGGTAGCGACAATGATCTCACACTTACAGGGGTAGCGACAATGATCTCACACTTACAGGGGTAGCGACAATGATCTCACACTTACAGGGGTAGCGACAATGATCTCACACTTACAGGGGTAGCGACAATGATCTCACACTTACAGGGGTAGCGACAATGATCTCACACTTACAGGGGTAGCGACAATGATCTCACACTTACAGGGGTAGCGACAATGATCTCACACTTACAGGGGTAGCGACAATGATCTCACACTTACAGGGGTAGCGACAATGATCTCACACTTACAGGGGTAGCGACAATGATCTCACACTTACAGGGGTAGCGACAATGATCTCACACTTACAGGGGTAGCGACAATGATCTCACACTTACAGGGGTAGCGACAATGATCTCACACTGCGACAGATCCTAAACTTACAGGGGTAGCGACAATGATCTCACACTGCGCAGTCTAAACTTACAGGGGTAGCGACAATGATCTCACACTGCGCAGTCAGCGCCTTCTCTTGCTCGTACATATTACCCCCTCCGTATGCACACACTACCCTCAGACGGAACGCTCGAGTGAACTTCTTGCACTCCTGGTGTATCTGGATACAGAGTTCCCTGGTGGGTGCTAACACAATACCAATAGGACCATCACCAGGTTTCAGTTCCTCCTGGTCCATGATGTGCGGTATCATGGGCCACAGGTAGGCTGCTGTTTTACCTGAACCAGTCCTGGCAATACCTATCACATCTCGACCTGATAACCCAGCTGGTATTGACTGAAACATTGGATTGTGGTTTAGTTGGCTATAGAACGATGTTACGCTTTCGAAATAAAGACACAGAAGATTTACTGGAATTGTGGATAATTAAGAAAAGTTGCAAATCTGAGGCCTGAGGAATGTATACCTGAGCTTGTATGGGAGTAGGTTTCGTGTACTCTTGTTTCCTAATAGTAGCCATAGTCTGAGAATCAAACCCAAAATGAGCGAAACTAGAGACAGGTTTTGGTGGATTATGCCCGGACACCCTCAACCCTAGTTTGTTTCTCAGTTCTACAACTTGAAGTGCGTTGAGTGAGGCTATCTCGGAGTGTTCCTTGTAAAAGTCTTTACCAAATGGTGGGTAGGTAAAAGTGGAGTGATCTATAGGTTCTAAAGGTATGATAATCTTCTTCTTGGGGGTGTAGATAGGATTACCATCTTCATCATACTCCACCTCCATGTCTTCTTCGTCTTCTGGGGACACAAAGTTAGGGTTCTCTTCCATTGCTTTGAAATAGGACTCCTGAAAAATGTTCGTGAAACAAAAGAGATATAACAATGTGATTTATAAGATTCTGTTATGAATCTATGTCCTTAAGCTTAGTACTCATTCAGATTTACAGCAGCAGGTAAAAATTAAAAAATCAGTAAAACTGTTTTTCTGGCAGTATACCTGATCATCATCATCGTCTATGTCACATCGTTGTCCCCTGATAAAACATAACGCTCAATTTGCCCCAACAACCTGATCAACCTACCTCAACCTTACAGACCCTATGAAGTGGCGTACCCAGTCACAACTTAATCCTTGATTATACCTTTAACCTGAGTACTTTTAACAAGAATCAAGAATATCAATCAAACGGATGGCCGGTGGAATGTCTTACTTTGATGAATTAGCATCTTCTGCTTCCTCGGCTTGGACCTTTTTCTTCTCATCTTGCTTCTTAATTTGCGTCTAAAATACATTCATTTCAACATCATTTTTCATGGAAAATTTATTATTTTTTTTTAAAATCCGAAACGTTGATCTCCTTGTGTAAATTTCACCAAAAAATAAGTTACTAATTACTAATTTATCACAACCATACCTCAATGCCAGCCATAAAGGCATCTAACGGATCATCTTCATCCGACTCTTCCTCAGCTGGAGTCTCTTCCTTGGACTCTTCCTCGATCGTTTGCTCTGCGTATGCTAACAACTCATCATCTTCAAACCCACCTGGTCAAATAAGGATGGTTTCAAACGAAATACCCAATCCATATTGTAGCGGGTCATATCGATAGCAAGTGCAATGGGTACAGAAATTCAAATTTATAAGATAAAACTCACAAACCTAGAGTGCTTTTAGCGGCTGGAGCTTCATAAAACGACCTCTTAGTGGGAGCTTCCAAGAAGGTTCTCTTAGCTGGAGCTTCAGAAAAAAAGGTCCTTTTCGCTGGGGCTTCAGAGAAAGTCCTTCTTCCTTCAGAACTTTCTGGAACCTCCTTAAACGTGGACGATTGTCTAGGAGGTGATCTAGATGGAGACTTAGTTCGTCTTGGAGGTGATCTAGATGGAGACTTAGTTCGTCTTCTTGGTGATCTAGATGAAGACTTAGTTCGTCTTCTTGGTGATCTGCTGCGTCGTCTAGGTGATCTGCTGCGTCGTCTAGGAGACCTGGATCTCCTCCGTGGTGACCGAGATCGTTTCTTAGGAGAACGACTTCTCGATCTTCGTCTTCTGGGACTCTTTGAACCAGAACTGCTCGATTTTCTTTGTGACTCTTCGTACTGTCTTATTTCGTCGTAGCTGATTAAAAATGAATCGTTTAGTTTATCAGATTAACTTTCAGAAATTCGATAAACACGAAACAACACAGTTTAAAGCGAAATTTATATTCCATAATGTAAAACCAAAATTTTTACTCTTTATCAGTAAGTTTGGGGAGTTTCCTTGTTGGTTCTGATGGCTGATGTTTTGGACGTTTACTTTCTTTTTCTTTGGGAATAAACTCTGAATTAGGGGTGATTTGTTCAGGTTCTTCTGATGCTTTGAGGTTGAAAGCCCCAATCCCAATACCTCTCTTCCCAGGAGGGCCTTTCTTAAAAAATGCCATCCTGCTAAATTGAAAAGATTAAAATTAAATATGGCGAAGAACTCCAAAATAAATACTTGTCAAGACTCAAAAGATTAAAATCATTGTGATGAAAATTTGACTAGTATGTGTGAATTTGTCATCAGAGAACAACAACAAACAAAACTCAGAGATCAATCACTTAAAGTATAAAACCGTCCTAAAAATAAATTAACTAAATATGCACATGTAACTACAAAACATGACTTGGTTAAAACAATCAACCAGAAATCTGTCATAGTGTCTTTAAATCACTTATAATCAGACCTTTATTTTCATGATTCAAACTTAGAAAAAATCTCTTCGTGACTCTTTTCAATACTCTTCTCAGATAATTTTAATTCTAAACTCAAAGATTGGTCAATTTGAGAGAGATTGAATGATTTCTTCCTGAAGTGATCCCAGATTAATAGAGTAACAATCATATGAGGCACCGTCCGACAGTAATTAGCTACGGCTCCTTTATAAAACCCTCTCCAACCCTCCCGCTTATGAAGTTTCTCCGCACACTCCCAATTATTCTTGTAATATGCACCCAGCTCCTGGTTATACATCCTAGTGCAGATTACATCGAATGGATTTGAAATAAGGACCACAGGTATTGAACTGATAATACCACTGAGACAGGAGTTTTGAAGAGCATCGTGCACTCCGAGCGCATACATGCCATGTTGCACTGTGGTGAAGGAGAGGAGTTGCACTGTGCTCGCTACAGATATGCGCATCATAGCGCTTGTTCCTCCTTGAAACGCACTGCCCATATAACCCCTGTGTCCTCGGAACGCTTTCCAAATTACCCACCTTGGTCTACTGTGGGTATGTTGCCAGCCTACTGCTAGGTTAGGGCTAGCTTGAGACTGCATTTGTATTTTGGCAAGATAAGCAGTGCTTGCAAAAACCGCGCCTGCTGACCCAGAAAGCGCACACGCTGCAGCGTATCTCCATAACACGGGCTCCTCGTTCAAGTCACTTGTCAGACCCCACCTGTTACATTTCTCAAACACAAACGCTCTCATACCGTTCATGAGGAACTGATAGGAGAAAGCTGGAGCGGCTCCTTTATACAGTCCTCTCACACCTGCGTCACGTATCACAGCTAACATTGATTGAGGTATTGTTCTGTATTTAATGGGGTACTTTCCAGGGGGTCTCAGTTCCCCTTGAAGCTGAAACCTAACTTTCATAAGATCCACAGGGTGGGTTAAACAACAAGCAAATGCAGACGAGGAAGCCAGAGTAAAGTAGTCTTTGTTGAGGAACCATTGGGTGAGAATAGTGCTCTTCTCTTCAAAGACATCTACATTAGGAATCTGACGAGCATACTCTTCTACTTTTCCTTCTATTAGGTCCTTCAAACGGGGTTGGTGGCTTGAGTCTGATTCTGTCATCTAACCATCCAACTGTCAGAATAATAACACTGTAAGTTTATTGAAAACATGCAAAAGTATTTACCTGATCTGTAACGACAGAACAGCTTAACAATTCATATTTATTTGTGTATGATGCGATGTATCATTTATTTAAACGGTCTGTAACCGAGTTTAATCAAGGAAGCTGATGATTTCAACAGTTCACCCGGAGGAAAATACTACACATTCCACGGCCTTTAAATGAACCTCAAGAATTATACAGCACTTACAAAGCGTTAAAATAAGTAATAAATTAATCATTTCATCATCAACTTGCAATAGTGCAATACCCTTTCAAATTCGTTGTCAAGAGATCTAGCATGAATGAAATAAAGATAATCTGCGAACTTTGATAAGATCACAATCTCGCTATATTACTCTCATGATGACGGATAAGGACCAATGCCAGCCCTCAAGGGAGAATCCCTTTTATCCTCATCGTCCAAATGATCGTCATCATTCCACTGCGGGTCTCCAGGAAGCTTGGAGTACTCATCGTTCTCTAACGGTAAGGTCACGTGCATCATGTCGTGTATGTGTGTTTGTTCTCTGTATTTAGCTCGAGTCTTAGTCTCGCTACTGTGCGTTACGCGCCCAAATCTTTGGAACATGTCCCTGAGAATTACAATTTTGTAAGTGCTTTGATTTTTTTGGTTGTAATGCAATGTCATGAAGTGAATCTGGTATAATAAAATATTGTAATTAGGGGTGGGCACCCCAATTCTAATACAACTTCTGACAAAAGGCAATGGAAAAGTGCGCAACTGCCAACTTTGATATAATAATTGTGGTGAACTACCAAAATAAAAACTTACTGGTATTTCTCGCCCAGAATAGTGTCCTCCACCAATGCGTCATGAAGTGCCCCCCGCTTATTATACGATTCGATTATCAGATTAGCTAGGATCATAGGCTCAACCTGAATGATATAATTTCAAATATTTTATCATAAAAATAGTTGACGAATAGAGTAAAATCGATGGAAAGAGATTCAATTCATTCAATAAAATGGTGACATAAGATAAGACTGACCGGGACTCTAGTCTTGAACCGTTTGGATTGTACTTTAAAACGTTTGATAGCCAGGTCAGTGCTCTCCTCGATAGTTAGCGGTATCGGACACGGCTTGTAGCCGTCTCTTGTCCTCATAACTTGCACAAACTCAATCCTGACTGGCGGAGACACGTTCTGAGGGAGAATTGTCGTTAAGCAATTTATTTAGAAATAGCAAGATTCAGTAAGCTTAGTTTTTAAGACGTATCTACCCTATCTAATATTTATTTCAGAAGAGTACATTTCAAGCAGTTTTACGTTAGAAAAGGAAATATACAATTCAACTCACAATAACAGCCTGTTTTAGGATTTCATTACAGTCAAGTTCTATCTTCTGTTTAGGATTTGCTTTTTTTAGTTGCATCTGGTGTATTTTGATATACTTAAAGGTGTTGACCATGATATCAAATGCTCTGTCTACACCAGTGTGACGACATAACTTTATCTTTTCTGGAAAATAGGATAATTTAAATAATATGTTAATTTATAGCTTGACAGTAACAATAAGGTGAACAAGCAAATAATTATTACTCAAAGGTAGCTTACAAGCGATTAACTTGTAATTACCTATAAATCTCCACACTAAAGGGTCGACAAAGGATGTAGGATATGGACTAAGCCTTCTTGAAATACGCTTTTCCAGACTCCGGTCCCCAAACACCTCCTCGTGATTTAGACGTCTCTCTTCGTCCTGTTTCACGACCTCTCCTTTATTCTGTACATCCAGCTGGTACCCGCATTTTTCACTGTACTCAAATTGATCTCCAGAACTACGTTCATACTGTCCTGTTACAATAACAAGTAAAAACTCTTAAAAAGTTTATAAATATAATAAACCTTTTGATAAAGTTTATTTATAGTAATCGAAGATACTGCGTAGTCAACTTACGATAGAGCTTGCACACTAAAAATTAAAGATAATCTAAAGTTCAGCAGAAATTAAGTTTCGATTCTAGCTGAACCTCTGAACACATTCAAAATCAGAACCATCAAAATGTTTATATTTTCTAAATATAATTAACAATGTATTCCAAACAGCCAGTGTGGTTAAAATGACTAATACTCGAAAAGAAGACTTACCCAAGTGAGGTTTAGCTAGCTCAGCAAGGTCCCAAGGTCGAATAGGTTCCGTTCTGTCCCACTCGTACTTGTGTTTTCCGAGGTAGGAGAACCTCAGTTTAGGGTGGTTATGTGGTAGCTGCACTCCGTTTATAACATCGCTTTCTAGTTCACGGACACCTCCTTTCTGCTTCTTACCACCGAACCAGTGTCCCCTTACTCTGGAGTAGTAATATACTATATATACTATGGAGTAGTCAGTAGTGGAGCAATATAATACAGTCAATACACAATACACATTACGCAGTCTAGTAACTAGTAGGAAAGGTCAGCACTCACCACTAAAAAATAAGAAGGATAAAATGATATAATTATTTTAAAAAAAGGCTAACTCACGCAGCGGGTGTTCTTTTGAATTTGGGGTTGGTAGTGTGTATCTGTCTTGTTTGTGAAGCGCTGAACCCTTGTGGGACTACACGTGTACAATTCTTCAGCATACTGCTGAGTCTTCAGTCAAGTTCTTATGCCATACACCTACTGAAGATTATAGTGTTAGCAATACTTTTAACTCATGAGGAGTGTTGATTAAATCTAAACCTTTATTTAGTAAGATCCACATTTATCAAATCAATACTCAATTGACTTTTTGATATTAAGTTTTGACATAACATTACTTCAGTAATCAGACACAGTTTATTGAATAGTCATGATCCTATAATTATAGGTAAAATAATCTTTATACAAAGCAATATTATATTTATTGGCTAATAGAAAGAACACAACAACGTACAAACATCAGTAATTATAAATCCAAAACAAAGAATTAGATAAACCCTATCATTTAAAGATTATCTGCAATCACTAATCTAATTAATAGACAATGTAGGGCCAAATCGATACATTTATAAATCTGTGCGGTTCCTATCTCAGTTCAAGGGCTCTAATCATAAGTGCAGAATCTTCCGTGTCAACGTTTAATTAAATCTAAACTTTTTCACCTACATTTTATTAAGTTAACATCATATCATCAGATTTTAATCTAACAATCTAATGCTAACAATAAAACGAAATCATAATAAATTAAACCGTTCCAGGCAACCTCCATATTATTCTTCCAGTTCGTATAAGAGTTGACCTTTTGAAACCCGGTCTCCTTCGTTGAAACAGATGGAGGAAATAACACCGTCTTTGTGGGCAGATATGTCGAACAACATCTTCATAACATTGACCTGTAAAATAATATCCCCTGCCTTCACGACATCGCCGATTCCGGCAAATATTTTCTGAACTAGACCCTCAACAGACGCAACTCCATCATCTAGCCCTGCTTCATCGTCAGCCACCAGATACTTAGGGACATTTCTTGACAGAACAGTTTCACTTCCATCACAAAACACGTGCAAGTTGTCTCCGTCTTGGACAATTTTGCATTCCAGTTTTTTGTTGGCAGAGTTTCCACTCCCGTATATAACATTGTCTTCTGCTGATATCGCAACATCAACTTCAACTTCAGACCCGCTGTTGACTGAGACGAAATACGACGAACCTGCACAACGGATTTTAATGTCCAGATCAGTATCACCATCTTTAAGTTTCAGCTCCTCAACATGGTTGAGGTTGAGTCTGGAGAACATTGATTTGGTCCAGGGAGATAAAGATGAGGCAGTTGTCCTGCTCAAAAGATAAGATACCGCAGTGAGAGCTAAGTTCTCCTCAGATAGAGATGGAGGGCTGGGAAAGAGGGTGTCTCCGTGCTCCTTAATGAAATCTGTATGAACATCAGCCGACTCAAAGTTGGGATGTGTAGCTAGATCCTTTAAGAACTTAATGTTAGTGGACAATCCAACAACATGGTACTCTTGAAGTTTGCTGTGTAAAAGAGCTAGAGATGATAAACGATCAGGAGCCCAAACGACTAGTTTCGCGATCATTGGGTCGTAGAAGACGGAGACAGCATCACCCTGCCTGATACTGGTGTCAATCCTGACGGTCTCTGACTCTGCTGGAGTAGACAAGTAGTTCACGTCTCCGGAACCAGGCATGAAGTTGTTATCGGGATCCTCAGCGTACACTCTGGCTTCAAACGCGTGCCCATTAACATTGATATCCTCCTGAGTAAAAGGAAGTGCCTCACCTTGAGACACCCTCAACTGGAGCTCCACAAGATCAACACCCGTCACCAGCTCAGTAATCGGATGCTCTACTTGGAGCCTCGTGTTCATTTCCATGAAGTAAAACTTGCGCTCGACTGTGTCCATGATGAACTCGACAGTTCCTGCACTCTTGTAACCCACCGCCTTGGCTGCTCTAACTGCCATCTCACCGATCTCTCTGTGCTCCTCTGGAGTAAGTCCTGGAGCTGGAGCCTCCTCGATGATCTTCTGGTAACGGCGCTGGACAGAGCAGTCTCTGTTTGAGAAGTAAACGGCATTGCCGTGAGAGTCAGCCATCACCTGGACTTCAACGTGGCGAGGTTGGAAGTCGAAGAAACGTTCCAGGATAACTCTGTCGTCGTTAAAAGCCTTGATGGACTCCTCCTTGGCAGACCTGAGTGCCGCCATAAAATCCTTATCATCAAACACCATCCTCATTCCCTTACCACCACCCCCAGACACTGCCTTGATAATGATGGGGTACCCTACCTGATCTGCCTGCTCCTTGAGGTATGCCTCATCCTGGTTATCTCCATGGTAACCAGGAACGCAGCTCACTCCAGCATCTATCATGATACGTTTTGATGCGCTTTTACTGCCCATTTCTGCGATGGCAGACGCAGGAGGTCCGATAAACTCAACACCCTGTGCCGCAAGTGCCTCAGCAAACGGAGCTTGTTCTGATAAGAATCCGTAACCAGGATGAACCGCTTGAGCTCCGGTTTTCTTGATAATGTCCATCAATTTGTCCTGTCTGAGATAGCTCTCTGAGGCTGGAGAAGGTCCGATGTAGTGAGCTTCATCTGCCATTTTAACGTGCAGTGAGTGTCTGTCAGCATCAGAAAACACAGCTACAGTTTTAATGTTCATTTTCCGGGCTGTTTTCATTACTCTGCAAGCAATCTCACCACGGTTAGCAATGAGAATCTTGCTGAGCTTGTTAATACGCTGCCCATGACTCATAGTTCCTGGTGGTAACAAAATCTAGTGAGGTCACTTGTTTTCAAGTAAGTCTTGGTAATATTTGAAATAAGGTAATTCGTAGGCTGGAAAAGTTATTTCCGTTTTAATTAAGATGGATAGATGAGTTGCATTGAAGAAAAGTTGTAAGAAAACAATCGGCAGTTTGTGATTTAATTAAAAATTCTGATAATAAATTTACTTAAATTTCTCATTTCGGCAAAAATAATACTTGGGTTAGAGTTATTTGTCAATTATCAAATTGCTAAAAATCTCAAAAATTCAAGAAATGTAACAGAAGTCAATAGTGGTTGAAACTCTGATAATATCCGGGTACTTAGAAAACCCACGCAAAATGGAACAGTGCTACAAATCAAGAAACAGCTTCGAAAATAGACAATTGGACTGAGCTCAAGAGTGAAATAAAAATGCGTGTACCACAAAAGTATAGATTTTATGAAAGCTGTGTTGTAAAATTGCGATCTATACAGCATGGAATTAATTCAAATACCGTACATAACATTACATATCAAATAATTTAATGATGATATTCTATAAATACATTGGTATAAAACATCCCAAAACATGCCATCTTTACGTGTCTAGGGCCATTCGGTCTGTAGAAGTAATATGTAATGAAATAAACTTGTTCAACAAGGCCACACCATATCATATCATCTGATTCCACTCAGTCTCAGAATTGTTTAGGCATCATCTGTCTCCGTCTGGCTTGCTGCGCTCTGATATCTTTCTCTAACTCGAACTGTTTATGGTCTGCCCTAGTCAGGAAATCTTGTTTTCCCAAAAAGTCCTCCGATTTTGCCTCATTCTTCACATCCTCTGGGAATTTATGGTATTTTAGTTTCACAACCTTCAGCGGTCAGGACAATGAACCTTTCTAACTTTAAAGCACGCTACGTTGGAATTGAAAAATAAACATAAAACATGTACTAGGTACCTTCAATAGAATTATCTTTCTTGAATTTGTTCCAATCGAGGGAAGTTTTGTTGAGTACAGTCATCTTGGGTCGTTTGGTGAGTCTGCTGACCAGAGAGTTGAGTTTAGAGACAGGTCTACTTCTCTTAGTACCGGAGGGTTGAGGTTGGTTATCCGAGGTAGAACTTCCCTCAGATCTCTCCTCACTCTCAGTCCGAGACAATATTGGGGCTGACTCCCTCCGTCTTTTTCTACTGAACACCAAATTTGTGTGAGGTTCAACTTTAAGTTTAGCAGTATATTGAAGGACAAAAACTGTAAAAATTAATTATAAGTTTGCCGACCGTGCTTTTTAAAAGTAATTTCAAAACATTACTCCGCCGAAATAGTATATCATCCAGAAGATTGTGCTGTTCATACCTGTCAAGGCCGAATGTAGAAGCTATACTCCTCCTTTTGCTCTTTATCTCTTCTCTCACTGTTACTTTTTCTCCAGCAAAATCGTAGGTCTTCTCTTTTATTGTAGTCTCAAACTCTTTGGCTTTCCTGTTCAAATATGATTAAGTGTGATAAGGATTAAAGGAAATTATGTTCTTATCAGTTTAAATTCATATGAACATTTGCATTTAATCCTCTAGCCTTTACCATGTTTACAAAATATAATATATTTTCATATAAAATTCAAAAGGGACTTAACTTTAACTTAAACAAGATCTCATGTTATACAACACGACTTTACATTCTCAAATGATCAAATATTAAATTAACGAGTAATTCATATCAACATCTCGCACAGATACAATATATAATAGGTCCTCATGGAATTGCGTACACATCTATTTTACTAACGTTAGCTACCTGGTGTAGTAACGTGAAGGTCAACATATTGTATTACCGTTAGTTACTAGTGTACAAGTTGCAATATCTTATAGTTTTACTATATCCAGTCTTGAATCTTGCTTTACCTTACACTTAAAGTTTGATTTATAATATTAATCCTGGTTTCCTTGTTGAGCCGGGATTGTTGTTGTGTAAAGTTAATATTGATTGTTTTATAACGTGTTAATAACATTCAGCCTAGTAATCAAGACAATCCTACCACATCATACTGATCTAGCTGTTGTTTGACCCTGCGTCAAGAAACTCACTACAAAGAAATAGAATGATGAGATTCAGATTTCCACGATTGAAGAAGACTCAAATAATTGTAATACCGTTCCTGATATTGATGATTATCTGGGCCAGACATCTGAACCTGCAAACAATCGTTATCAATAACGATTCAGATCCGTGTTCGAGTAAAGACGGAAGTGAATTAATGAAGAAAATAGAACTACGAACTTTGAGAACAGTCGAAGACCAGTACAAAACCAAACTAAAAAACCTCTCAAAAACAGAGTTATCAGAAGTAACCAACTATTACCACCGTGATGTATCCTTACATTGGGATAGTTCACATACTCTTCTACCACAAAGTAAACCTGTCCCGGATAAGACATGTCTCCGACACCTGGATCAAACCTTCACAACCTCTGTTAGTGTGGTCATGTGTATGAAGAACGAGCTGATCTACCTTCTCTTACGAACTCTCACTACACTTGTTAAGAGAACGCCACCCCATTTATTGAGGGAGATACTCCTGATAGACGATGGAAGTGACACGGACAGTTCAAGCGAGATAACAGATTTTAGTTTGAAGATGGGGATACCGATCAAGATACAAAGGAATAATGTGAGTGTTGGAATTACCAATTGTAGGAACTCAGCGATAAGACAGGCAGAGGGGGAGGTGGTGGTGATATTAGATACCCACATGGAGGTGTCTGATATCTGGTTGGAACCACTCCTTGATATTCTGCAGGAGAAACCTAGTGCTGTAGCAGTTCCCACTTTAGATCTTATCAATGAAAAGGACTACGATGCGAAACATCTGAGAGTTGTAAACGCGTATGGTATTGAGATGATGAGCGGGTATTCCTTCTTCAGATACTACAAAACTGGGCCACCACAACACCACCAATCTGAGCCCTACCAATCAGCCTCAATCCTAGGAGGTGCTCTAGCAGCATACAAGGCAACATTCTTGGAATTCTACCCTCAGGGAGTGTTGGGGGAGTATTGGGGCACAGAGAACAGCAGACTAGCACTGAGAATGTGGATGTGTGGAGATGGGTTGTGGATGACACGTTGCTCACAAGTTCTCCACAATAATGGTAATGATGGAGGATTACAGAGATACCTGAAGGATAGCCCCGATATGTGGTTACATCTCCACTACGAGACACTGGGAGATGTTGTGAACTTTATCAGGGAGGAGGATGACAAGAGGAGGATGTTACGGAGTGTTTATCGGGAAGAGGAGCATGTGGAGAAGGTGCTTAGCGTGTCACGTACAATACAGGAGCAGTTTAAGTCAACGTGTTCACGTGACTATGCGTGGTATCTAAAGAATGTCCAGCCTCCAGAGTCCATGCATTATGTTCGAATGAGTTCAAGTGATTATTATCATCTGATCGGTGAAGCAGAATCCGTGTCACATCCTAACTATTGTATCATAACAGACTACAATAAAGCTTATGTAGATCAGAAGTGTAGAAAGGATATGACCCTAGTGTACGACACTCATCTGCTAGGATTCTCAGTGACAGGAGAGGTTCAGACTACAGTTCAGACTTTAAATTGTTGGGATTGTGGACAGGGAGCCAACAATGAGACTGCTATCGGCATGTACGGGTGCCATTCTGTTGCTAACCCTGACCTTGAAACTACTTACACTACACAAAACTTCCAGTATGATGTTGATACCAAGCAAATAAGACATGTTGAAAGCAAAAGATGTGTCCAAATATTTCCTGACGATAAGAAGATTTTACTTGTTTATTGTACTGGTCGGCCGGAGCAGAAATGGATCATTAATTTGCCCAGGTGGTATACGAAACATTGAAATTGTTTAAACGATTTAAGCTCTGAGTGAAAAATAAAGGGGATTCAATATTATATTCTTTTCTTCCGCTTATTAATTCAAATTAAAACTTATGAATGAACATTTGAGATTACCTAAATTTAATATCTAAAATCGAAATTACCAACCGTTTGATGGGAACTGCAACATCAGCTTTAAAAGCACTCCAAAGGTCATCTGCTTTCTTCTTTTCTGAGTCATCATGTGAAACCTCCTTGATTTCTCTACTTCTGTACCCTTGATACCTAAATTAGGGTACACTCATTGAACTGAACCGAACTTATTATTCGCAGTAACTCAAAAAACGTTTTCTAGAATCACAATTCAGTTTAAACTCTCTAAGTTCAATAGCAATACAGAGAAAATATAATTAAACCAATCTAAGCTTTTAAAACTAGAGCAAATAATAATCTTTAGCTAACCATACCGTCTCTAAGAGAATACTGTCTAGAAACGATCTCCTCTCCTTCCTCCTTCTCTTCCTCCTCCCCCGGCTCCTCCTTCTCCACAGGATCTACTCCTGGCACATACTCATCATCCTCCGAGTCATCTGATTCTAAACCTTCTGCTAGAGCTAAAATGATATTTGACCCGGCACCCGAAGTCTTCTCTTTATCTAACTGTTCGGGGTTATCTGAGGGGTCTTTTTGAACTGATTCCCCCACTTTTTTGGCATGTTTTACTGACTTATCACAAGCTGAGTTCCCTAAGATAAGGTTCTTCTCATCTCCTTCAGCCCCAATTTGTGACGAAAGAGAAAGGTCTGGAAGGTCCGATACACTGCAAAGTCTGTCTCCTGCACTACTAGTAGTGAACCCAGTACAGTTTAATTGTCGTGGAGACATTGACTTTTCTTTATCTGAAGACAGAGGAGTATCGTCTAGTGTGGTGCCAGGTTTTACTGACGGTCTATTCTCAGCTGAAAGTCGTGCTGGTCTTACTGCTGGTTTCGTCTCAACTGAAATGTTGGCATTGAGTAGACCGACTCACCACTGTTGTAATTCATCATATTAAATGTTATTGACTGTATGAATGTCAAACACAACCAGACAATGCAGAAAGCAGATGACTTTTAGATCTGCCCAGGATAATCTGAATCGCATTTATACTTGCAATGTTAACCGACCTGGTTTAGACATAGGGGTTTGTTCGTCGTATTCTGTCTGGTTAGTTTCATTTAGATAGGCTAAAGGATTCTCAATAACTGACATGATCCTGGAATAACTTTACTCAAATACAGGCAACATGTAGAATGTAGATATCGGACAATTTCGAGCAAACTCATAAAATTAAGAAGACAAGACCAAAATATCTTGAATCATACATAGCTAGTCCCACTCTAGCTTCATAATGTGAAGAATTTGTTTCACTTCTCTAATACACTCAACACCTGATTGTTGTTCTAGGGCAATGAGGTTCATAAACAAATTCTTTGGAAGCTGTCAAATACAAGAATCGAACAAACAGTTGTGATACAAGAAAATATAAATTCAACTGAAATTCAATATTTCTTCAAAGTTCAAAAAGCATAATATATCCAACCTCGATTCAAGGTAAATATAAATTAAAAAGATATCCCAGTCACACCCAACATGAAACCAATATCATAGCAATAACGTCCAATTAATAGGCTATAAAATTCCCCAACGAGTCCCCCTATTAAATGAAATCCAATCCTTGATTGGTTTCATCTATAACATAGAAGACAGAACCACGGACTTGGTTCCCTTCTATAAAAAGGCCCACATACTCCCTATAGACCAACGAATATTCTTTAAAGTTTGTCTATTAACCCACAAATCAGTTCACGGTACTGCACCTGATTACCTCAAAGCACTACTGGATTTGGATGTAGCGGATAAAGAACTCTCAAACACCATGACCATGACCAGGTCGAAGAGACCTGGTGACCATCTCATGCTCAAGGTACCAAAGAATAAAAAGTCCAAAGTTGATGACAGACGTTTCTCAAGCCATGCACCGATTGCATGGAACTCTCTTCCACTGATTAGATGTTGAGATGTATTACTGATACCAACTGCTTCAAGCGAATGTTAAAGAACCATTTATATAATCAGTTTTGATGTTTTTTCTTTCCATTTGTCTTCTTTTTGCAAGACACCTTGGCTTTTATTTCTTACTGCACTCCATTTTATGTCTAAGTTCTCTACCTTTCTATGTCACTGTACTAACCTTTATTATACCTACATGTATTGTTAGGGCCTGTCGTGATATCATGGATCGCTTAGGTTCCACCAGGATCTGGTAGTCCTCATAATTCTGCGGCCTCTATGTATCGTCATCTCGTACAACTCTTTAAGAATCTTACGGATTTGGCATGTGGAAATTTGCAGCCTTCCAGACACTGATTGGGTTAACGAGGTGTCGTACGTGACAGGGGGCTGACCAGGCCATAACCCAATTGATTGGGTCTGAGGTCACGTGATTATGATCCTGAGGTCACGTGACTATGACGTCACCAGACCTTGTTCTCCGTTTCCCGCTCATTGGACCAGGTGAGCTTGCATGCTTGTGAATGTGGGTGTAAGTACAGCTGTACTGTAGTTTATACCTAATTATAACCCCTATAGAAACCGAAAATTTATTTTCTGGCAGAAAGCTAGAAATTTACCAAAATATCGACATTGTTATAAATTTATTTTGATGACCATTCCTGACCTAAAATTGCACGAGAAATCGATTAAACTTGGTTTCAGGACTCAACAATGCTTCTTTATGCCTTAAAATCCATGTTTTATCGATACAATCAACATTATGATCGGTAATCACACTATATAATGACAACACTATATAATGACAAGCACTTTATAATGACAGCTGATTTTTGTCATTATATAGTCTGCAAAACGCACTATATAATGACAACACTATGTAGTGACGAGTTTATGGACACGTTCATTGAAGTTTGAGGATATTGGTAAATATTAGTGACCCTACTGAATGGCACGATGATGTAAAATGTGTCACACTATGAAACTATATAAACCCTCTAACCCTAAGATAATCGTTTCATCCTCTAGATAAACTTTGTCGCATAACGATATCTTTATCAGACGATAAGATATCGCTTAAATGCGGCCGGCAGTGAGTTGTAAACTTTGTCACAGTATAAAAACGTGACGGAGTTTATATGGACCCCTTGTTACCGTGTTTGACCAAATTTTCGAATTTCCAATTCATAGAATAGCTGTATATGACTATTATCTACATATTTAGCGACTTTTTGCCTTAAATGGTAGCACCATGTAAACTCCGTCACACATTTAAGAAATTTATATGAGGGATGTTTATGACATCCTGACAAGAAATGCCGAATAGTTTAGCATTATTTTGTGAGTTGAATGTGTTTGGAATTGTTCACATATTTCATTGTTATAGGCAAATACAAATACAGAAGGCAGAAATAGGTAAATTTAGTCACATAAATTTGTATGATATCTCAACATGTGTGAAATTGAGTAAATATTAGTATACCAACTTAAACACCCTATATTACGTACTATGGATCAATTAACTATATTTCAACCATACGCCAGTCATATAAATTATTATATGGCAGTCTTATGTTAACATTGGATAAATTTCAACACCTGAACAGGGTAAAAATTTGTAAATTTCGTCACAAAAAAAAATTATAACTTTATTTGCTCCGTGTTGGCAAAATAACTAATTTATCGACATAGTGATGGTGATAAAGTAACATTATATATTAATTAAGGTATGATTCTTCAAAAAAGGGGCAAGAAATGTAAATTTCGTCACATCAGCCATTGCATTAGTTAGATAGATTTTCTTTCATATCAACTGCCCTTATTATAGTTGGAATGGATTTATACAGGAAATATAGAAACCCATGCCCATTTTTCATCACATTGAAATTATACTGTTGGGGCAGGAAAAGTAAATGTCGTCACATTTCGGTAAATTAGTGATATCAAACTCAGCATTGTTAAACTTGAAATAACCTACCAATAATTCCTGGAAGAATATTGAATTCTAATCGGGGTATGGTTCTTCAAAATAGGGTCAAGAAATGTAAATTTCGTCACATACGTCATTGTAAAATTTAGATACATTTTCTTTCACATCAACAGTCCTAATTACAGTTTGAAATGATTAATTCAGAGATAAAGGAAATATAGAAACCCATGCCCATTTTTCATTGCATTGAAATTATACTTTTGGGGCAGGAAAAGTGAATTTCGAGTGACAACATGAGCCCCCCTCCTCCCTTGTACATTATAACAATGTGGGTGTGTACAGTGTAGTGTATTTTGTACTTTACAGACAGTCGATTGTCTACATTAAACTACCTTACACCCCGACATACTTCACATCATTAACGAGTAATAAAAGTTTCCAAGGACCGTGAATCAGTAGAATAAGCATCAGTAGAATAAGCATTTTTAGTCATTGGTCATGCAACTTGAACGTGAGTAATTATAGAAAGTGTTTTATTTACATAGTAGATATAAATGATCAAAACTCAAAATTGGTTAGACAACTTTGCATGTAGTTAAAATGTAATTTTCAGGGTTGACAAGCTTGAAAATTATTGTGTTCGATTAACCGTTCAAAGGTTGATAAGTGTGATTAAATTTTATAAAATTCCGATATACTTCGGCGTTTAAAAAAATTCCGAATCTTATGGAAGTAAGAATTTCCAATGTGTCTTATCGAAAGTGAGTGAAAGAAACACTTGTGGCAATTTTATTTACTGATACTCTTATTTGTAAAGCTATCCTCGATACATATGCAGTTACAAAGTGAGATAACTGTTTCAACAGGGGTCGAATTCACAAAAATAACGTAAACCATTGATTTAAAGCTACCGCCGCTCCTGTCTCTTGATTGCTGATGATGATCAGGAACACATGACGTATCATCACGACGATTATTGGTCACTCGAAATCGACCCGTTAGGAATGCAATGTAGGTGTGATGGTTGTTTCTGCGTATTTGTTAGGTACCTGTTACTAATTAATCAACGGGATCATAATGTTGATTGTATCGATAAAACATGGATTTTAAGGCATAAAGAAGCATTGTTGAGTCCTGAAACCAAGTTTAATCGATTTCTCGTGCAATTTTAGGTCAGGAATGGTGATCAAAATAAATTTATAACAATGTCGATATTTTGGTAAATTTCTAGCTTTCTGCCAGAAAATAAATTTTCGGTTTCTATAGGGGTTAATTAGGTATAAACTACAGTACAGCTGTACTTACACCCACATTCACAAGCATGCAAGCTCACCTGGTCCAATGAGCGGGAAACGGAGAACAAGGTCTGGTGACGTCATAGTCACGTGACCTCAGGCTCATAATCACGTGACCTCAGACCCAATCAATTGGGTTCTGGCCTGGTCAGCCCCCTGTCACCCGATCTTGAGGTGACGTACGACACCTCGTTAACCCAATCAATGTCTGGAAGGCTGCAAATTTTCACATGCCAAATCCCTAAGATTCTTAAAGAGTTGTACGAGATGACGATAAATAGAGGCCGCAGAATTATGAGGACTACCAGATCCTGGTGGAACCTAAGCGATCCATGATATCACGACAGGCCCTAATGTATTGTATGGTCTCTGCTTCTTTTTAGTTTAGTGTGGTTTAAAATAAAAGATGTTTTAATTTTGTCTTGGTCTTATATTAATATTACGTTATACTCTTGTTCATTTTTACACATTTGCTCACATCACTCACAGTCAGCCGCTCTGACATGGTTAACCACCTTCCTTGTGTTGTTGGTTAATCATATGAGCGGGATATAAATACCTCATTTCATTTCATTTTCATTTCATATCTGGTATTTTGGTATGCAATCAGCTTCATGACACTCCCAAGCAGTCTACCATGAACAATGTACATTATACCCATATATTTCCCATCATGTCTTAATCAGCACCCGTAATGCTGTAATCTCTCTTTCAAGAATTCGGGTTCAAATTGATTCAGAAGATCAATCACGTGATTCACCTGAATAAAATTTATTTACATTTTTAGTACATTGACAAAAGCAAGGAGCAGTAGCACTAATTTAAGCAGTGATCTAAAATGTCAAATCTAAAAATTTTCTTCACATCAAATAAAAAATAAAGTAGTAAATAATAGCTAAATAATGGAAGGTTGGCCTTTATCAAATAAATCACTAACCTTGTTGCAAACAACATTAATATGTTCGTCCCACGGCTGAGTTTTGACCTCAAATGTAATGATCTGATCAATTTGGTCAATACTGCCACAAATCCTTTGCTCAGCTATCATTTTACCAACTACTGTTTCTGCCTAGGTAATATTAGGTCTAGTCAACAAACTTAATGCGTGCGTCAAAATAACTAAGAACTAATCAATAAAATGTACATCATTTTCATTAACAATGAGATCAATTAGACAGAGTGACCGTAAATAAACCCAATGTAAGAAATTTCCATTCTACAATTCCATTACATAACCAAACACATTTATCACACCACATTAAAAATCTCTACAATTAATGTTTTAAAATGACGAAATTGTAAGATTTTAAATTACAAACTTGTAAAGCAGGTACTCTCAGTAGTTGAGCAAGGTTGTCAATTTTTATAGATTTGTAGATGTTTGAGATGGCTAGAAGGTTATGCTCCATTACTGCTGCTTCTAAAATCGTCATACCATTTGCAAGTTTTTCTCGCTGGTGTTCATCCAACTCTTTCTCAAACAGTGTTACCTGGTGTTATCATTTAGCTCTGATCTCCACCCTGACTCTACTACCATCATTTATTTTAAATGTGATTCATAATTTAAGATACAACTTACTACAGTTTTATTTTGCTCCTATTGTACACAAAGCTTAAATATAAACACAAAGCTTAAATATTTAAAATGAGCTAGCTATGTTGAACTTTCATTAAAACATTACCACTTTATTTAAAATCAGATTGTCAGAATAATGAGCAACTATTACCTGTTGAAGAGTTATGAGGTGTCCCAACTGCGTGTTTCTTAACATACCATGGATAATTGGGGAACGCTCATCTTTTATAAGGGAGGACAAAAGTCGAGATCTGTGCACCCCAGCAGGTGCTATTATAGCACATAATATCTGAGATTTAAAACATTAATAATTAAAAGTATTTGCCTCAAATCATAGAAGTGAGTATCACTTTATTTTTTGTCGTTTTTCATTTTGAAGTATGATGTTAAGAGTCAAATTGGAGGCAAATTGGAGGTCAAATTACTCAAACTTAACAGTGATAAACCACATCATTTCTAGTAAGATTGTTTTACATTACCGAATGTCGGAGAAGTTCATTCTGCTCTGCTAATGAGAGTCTTGGCTCCAAACTCAGTTCCTGGTATCGACGTGCAGCTTCAAGAAACTTTTTCCTGAAGTCCAGCAATTTGGCATAGCATAGCTTGTATTTTACCTGAATTTGATAGTAAATAATTAAGTTGCACATTGCACAAGATGGTAGTGGAGGGAACTACAAAAAATGTCACAAAACCACTTCTACATGAAATTTATAACATTATTCAGAACATGCCTGTAAGTCTGGCTCAGTAGTTGATGTGATTAATAACGAAGCACGGTTAATGAATATCTCAGCCTGATTTGAGTCTCTTCCTTCAAGATACAGATGAGCTATTTTGAGATACATCTGAGTGGTGAATGCTTTTGAATAGTTCTTTTGGCTGTTTTCCAGTGGTATTGCACTCAAATTCGATGCAGCTTTACCAAAATCTTTCATAGCTTCATAGAGATAAGCCATGTGTTGATTTAATTCTGTTATCTGGTCTTCAAAAGACATGAGTCTTAATTTCAATGCTTCAGTGAGAATACCACAGTATTCTAAACATAAATCAGTTTGGAGAGATTTTACTCTTGAAATGACATGGGAAAATACTTTTCTGCTGACACCAACACTGACACTGTCAATCAAAATCGATTCAATAAAGCTGCCGATTTTAACACTAAGTGTTTCTGGGGAAGAGAATAAAGTGTCAAAGTAGTCACAGCAGCTTTGGACATGTTCTTCAGGAGATGATCCAGTAAATAGCACTGGTTTAGATGTCATAACCTGTGAAATTAGTAAAATTGGTTTGTTAGTCTATTAAAAGTCTATTTAAGCGAAAATGCTTCTGCTGTTACTAACATTCTCAGAAGAACTAGCATGGACAGTGGACACCAGGAATCTAAATAATTCTATGTTCGATGCAGAATTGGCAGACAAACTGCTTAAAGGTTACCAGAACACTGATACACTATAGAATAGATATTTTTCCGGTGAGATGAAAGCTCCTTTTTGAGATCATATTTCAGCTCATTTTAACTTAAACAACAGCTACACTAGTCAGTAATCACAGCTACAAAGCTTTCCTATATCCTGGCCATGACCCAATCATTATGATTGACTGAGCAAAAGATGATGGTGCTTAACAGTTGCGAAACTAATGGCTCTGCTAACCCCGCTGTGCGGGGGCGCCATCTTAGGGGGCGCAAAATCGTCATTTGAATGTGGGGCAATTTAGAAAAACTTAACTGATGTAATAGCAAATTTGTGCATTCTGCTCTAGAAACACACTTTTTTAGAGATTTTACCGGCACATCCTCTAAAATCACCTAATTTGTTCAATTTTAGGGATAAATAAAATAGTTATGGATAGGCTTGAATAAGCATTGTATAGTACACAAGGTTACCCAAGGAGTATGGACATTAGACAACTTCAGGAACAAGTTCTAAAAATCACCTGGAAAAGGTCTATCTAAATATAGATACTAAATGCGTATAACAACAAAGCTGAGAAGGAACAGGGCCGGGATGTAGGGAAAACCAAAATTTTGTTTTCCTTAGATCTATATAAAAATGAATAATCAAGGCATGTGTATTGTTGAATGATAACTGACAAATGACATAGAACAGACCCAAGATAAAAAGTCCTCCTTCTTCTCTTCACAAATCTTTCCGGTGGGTGATTTAACTTCGATTTTTGGTAGAAAAACCTGTACTGTTCCAGCCTTCGTTATTGAGCTATCATGAGCTCAATACCTTTTACTAATTCTACCCCTTATATTAACCTGAAACTGAAAAACTGCAGCTGAAAGCATCAAGTGGTTACAATGAAAATGGACGAGTAAAAAATATTTAAAGAAAAACAAAATTTTTATTTACCACAAAACAATAAATACATATTAGTTTCAGACAGTGGATGAGTGTGGTCTCAACGGTGTCATGAAGTGTTGGATCTACAATAACATGCTGACTAGCAAGATGTCCTGGGATCTGATGATTTACAACCTTCCTGTAAGTTCTGTGTACGAACTGGATGCTATCTGCACCAGATTCTTGAAGAAGTGGTTGGGTGTTACTAGATCAATTACTGTGACAGTCCTGTACAGGAGCAAGGATTACTTCGGGCTAAACTTGAAGAAGCTAAGTGACTTATACAAGTCTCTTCAGGTATCAAAGGGACACGCCCTGAAGAACAGTGATGACACCAAAGTTGTAGAAGCCTATAATAACAAGAGAGAGAAACAGGAGAACAGCCCGAGATGGTCTTATACAACGGAGCTGACGGCAAGAGAGCGAGATCTCTACTTCCAGGAGTTGGTTGGAGTAGTGACTAAAGACCGAGTAGGACTCGGATGCAAACCAAAGTTGACTGAGAGGCAGAAGCTAAGACAACTGGTAGAATCGGTGTCAGAGAACGACATGCTAGTCACCCTGGTAAACAAGGGAGTACAGGGCAAGTTCTTGACATGGGAGAACACGATGCAGTTAGACTTAGGATGGAACAGCCTTATCTACAACTACAAGATGAGCCCGGCTCTCCTTAAATTCCACCTAAACTCGACGCACGACGTGGCTAATACCCCTGCAAACATGAAATTGTGGAACTACTCGAGTACAGGAAATTGTACACTTTGTGGTTGGAAGACGTGCAACATCAAGCACATCCTAGCCGTCTGCAGTATAGCAAGGAACTCCAAAAGGTACAACTGGAGACATGACAACGTCCTACGTGTTATAGCCATAGCCTTGCTTGACCAACTCAAGATGTACAATTCCTCAGGTTCCACGACCTCCGACAAAGAATGGATACGGTTCAAGTCGAAGGATGGGAAGTATGAACACCCAAAGCCAAAGCTGAGGAAGGAGAGGCCCTTTGAGAGAGCGAAAGACTGGAAGCTGATATGGGACGAGGATACACTACCTGCCCAGTTCCCACAGCACATCTACAACACAGCGGAGAGACCCGACATTGTAGTATGGTCGGATAGTTTGAGAGAAGTAGTTCTGATTGAACTGACTTGTGGTGACGAGAGTAACTTCAGTGACCAAGTAGCATGTAAAGAAGCACGCTACAACAGAGAGCTGATTCCTGGCATCGACGGGTGCGGTTGGAAAGCTCTGCTCTTTACGGTAGAGATTGGGTGTAGGGGCTTCTGGCACCATACTGTACCAGCTCTATTCAACTACTTTGGATTGGCGAAGAGAACGAAGAATAAAGCCCTGAATGAGGCTGCTTTGGTCGCTCTTCGATGTTCCTATACAATCTGGTTAGCCCGCGACAACAAGAAATGGTCTACCTGCTACGACATCGCAAGGAGGCCAGAAGTCATAAACTGTGAAAGCTGAGTGTTGGGCCCATAAAACATGTTGAAAGCTGCAACCAGGATCACAAATACTGGTGGAATACAGAATGACTTGCTAATCAGATTTATAGATGGAGTTGCTATCGAAAGATATAGAACTCAGGTAAACATCTAACCTGTAATAGTTTATTGTTGATTTTTCTCTTATATTCATAGATAAATTCAAATTTTGAATTTAGCCATATTCACAGTCCGCCGCGCACTTGTATCACGTCGTGACACACACGGTCATTTCACTACACTAAATACAAGGGAGCCGCGCACTCGTGCGCGGCGGGCCGGTCATATGCATCCTATGACAACTGCACATCCTCCTCATCAGTCCTCCTTCTCCTTAGTCCTCCTCCTCAGTCCTCCTCCTCATGGGTTCTCCTGGATCCCTCTTCTCCTCCTCAGTCCTTCTCCTCCTCCTCAGTTATCCTCCTCCTCCTCCTTCTCCACACCCCGGCCCACTCGTGGTCGTTGTAACAAACCGTGTGAAGCCCAGTTACTTTAAAGGTCTTTAAAAAGTTAAAAGCGCCCCATACTTGACTTTAAAAATAGCATCCTTCTCCAAATTATACAGTCTTAAAGCTTTTGCATACTGTCCCCTCCCAGCTGCTGCGAAGTAGGGCAGCATCAAAGCTACTGCTGATAAGTGCATATTGTAGTCGTGCAACCTCTCTGCTCTTATGAAGTCCTTTACTAGTGTTATCATGTTGTGGTATAAGTAACGCATAGAGCTGCTGTTCTACTGTTGGAAAACAGGTTCTTTAGAAGCAGAGTTATTTTCTCTGATAGATCCTGAATAGATTTAGTTTTAAAGTGAACACCTAGATTTTCGTTCACACATTTGTAGATGTAACCTTCCAAGTCTGCTAGTTCATCGTCGTAAACTTCTTCCTCTATAATGAAACAACAAAGAGCGGCGTCGATCAGAAAGTGGGCTCTCAACGCTTTATAGTAAGATCCTCCAACTAATATATGCGTGACGTCTCCAGGATACACGAGTTTGATGAGCTCCTCTAAACCCGAGTCTGCCATTATTATTATATAGCCTATGCAGCCAAGAAACCTCTTGAGAGTGTGGAAGCCCCCAACCCTGACCACAATAGGCATCCTAGTTTCCATTACTATTCGGGTGGCCTTAATCCACAATGGCAAATCGAATGTGATTATCATCAGCTCACTGTAGGATAACTTAAGACATTCAACCAGAGTAGTATGTACCGTCAAATAGCTGTCTGGGGGTTGGTCAATAATCTGTTATTTGTTAGTTAACCTTGATATTTGTTAATTGAAGTTATTTCTCGAGTAAGATTTGAAATAAGCGTTAAAAATAATTTGGTGTATTTTTTTTCGAAATTTCAATAAAATTGAGAAAAATTTCGAAAAATTCCATTTATTTCGAAAAATAAAGCTCCAATCGTTCTGAAACTATCATTCGCCTGCCATAATGTGACCATTGCGGTCATTTTGCACCCCCTATGGAGATCTCAAGACCTTCGGGAGCCGAATAACCAATATTAGGGGTGGGGCGTATGGGTTCCTGGAGAAAAATGACTATAAAAATTTTTGCCCAAAAGTTTCAGCTGGACGGTTTTTTTTTGTGGTTCCTGGGACTATGGACAACACATTCCTGTAGACAAACCTTTGTTACGAATTTGTTCACAGAAAAATCAACTCTTGCCCTAACTACTGTTCCAGCCTTCGTTATTGAGCTATCATGAGCTCAATACCTTTTACTAATTCTACCCCTTATATTAACCTGAAACTGAAAAACTGCAGCTGAAAGCATCAAGTGGTTACAATGAAAATGGACGAGTAAAAAATATTTAAAGAAAAACAAAATTTTTATTTACCACAAAACAATAAATACATATTAGTTTCAGACAGTGGATGAGTGTGGTCTCAACGGTGTCATGAAGTGTTGGATCTACAATAACATGCTGACTAGCAAGATGTCCTGGGATCTGATGATTTACAACCTTCCTGTAAGTTCTGTGTACGAACTGGATGCTATCTGCACCAGATTCTTGAAGAAGTGGTTGGGTGTTACTAGATCAATTACTGTGACAGTCCTGTACAGGAGCAAGGATTACTTCGGGCTAAACTTGAAGAAGCTAAGTGACTTATACAAGTCTCTTCAGGTATCAAAGGGACACGCCCTGAAGAACAGTGATGACACCAAAGTTGTAGAAGCCTATAATAACAAGAGAGAGAAACAGGAGAACAGCCCGAGATGGTCTTATACAACGGAGCTGACGGCAAGAGAGCGAGATCTCTACTTCCAGGAGTTGGTTGGAGTAGTGACTAAAGACCGAGTAGGACTCGGATGCAAACCAAAGTTGACTGAGAGGCAGAAGCTAAGACAACTGGTAGAATCGGTGTCAGAGAACGACATGCTAGTCACCCTGGTAAACAAGGGAGTACAGGGCAAGTTCTTGACATGGGAGAACACGATGCAGTTAGACTTAGGATGGAACAGCCTTATCTACAACTACAAGATGAGCCCGGCTCTCCTTAAATTCCACCTAAACTCGACGCACGACGTGGCTAATACCCCTGCAAACATGAAATTGTGGAACTACTCGAGTACAGGAAATTGTACACTTTGTGGTTGGAAGACGTGCAACATCAAGCACATCCTAGCCGTCTGCAGTATAGCAAGGAACTCCAAAAGGTACAACTGGAGACATGACAACGTCCTACGTGTTATAGCCATAGCCTTGCTTGACCAACTCAAGATGTACAATTCCTCAGGTTCCACGACCTCCGACAAAGAATGGATACGGTTCAAGTCGAAGGATGGGAAGTATGAACACCCAAAGCCAAAGCTGAGGAAGGAGAGGCCCTTTGAGAGAGCGAAAGACTGGAAGCTGATATGGGACGAGGATACACTACCTGCCCAGTTCCCACAGCACATCTACAACACAGCGGAGAGACCCGACATTGTAGTATGGTCGGATAGTTTGAGAGAAGTAGTTCTGATTGAACTGACTTGTGGTGACGAGAGTAACTTCAGTGACCAAGTAGCATGTAAAGAAGCACGCTACAACAGAGAGCTGATTCCTGGCATCGACGGGTGCGGTTGGAAAGCTCTGCTCTTTACGGTAGAGATTGGGTGTAGGGGCTTCTGGCACCATACTGTACCAGCTCTATTCAACTACTTTGGATTGGCGAAGAGAACGAAGAATAAAGCCCTGAATGAGGCTGCTTTGGTCGCTCTTCGATGTTCCTATACAATCTGGTTAGCCCGCGACAACAAGAAATGGTCTACCTGCTACGACATCGCAAGGAGGCCAGAAGTCATAAACTGTGAAAGCTGAGTGTTGGGCCCATAAAACATGTTGAAAGCTGCAACCAGGATCACAAATACTGGTGGAATACAGAATGACTTGCTAATCAGATTTATAGATGGAGTTGCTATCGAAAGATATAGAACTCAGGTAAACATCTAACCTGTAATAGTTTATTGTTGATTTTTCTCTTATATTCATAGATAAATTCAAATTTTGAATTTAGCCATATTCACAGTCCGCCGCGCACTTGTATCACGTCGTGACACACACGGTCATTTCACTACACTAAATACAAGGGAGCCGCGCACTCGTGCGCGGCGGGCCGGTCATATGCATCCTATGACAACTGCACACACAGCCAAGCCACACATTGTTGAGAAATTCTTAAGTGCGGCTGTAAGCGCCGCGCGCAGGGACTATTTAATTGTTATCTTGTATGTTTATAACCTACCAAGATGCGCGCCGAGTTGGACTCGTCTTAATAGGTGATACTCGTAAAATATTTGTTCAATGTTTCAGGACCGTCGACGAGTTCAACTCGGCGCGCGTCCTGGTAGGTTGTAAACCTATTCACATAGCCATTTGTCTACGCGTACTGCGTGACGCGCTTGTTTCATGACCTTCGGCGGTCGCGCGCTACTGCAAGCGAGAGGGCTCTGGTTAGAGCAAGTAAACCTACAAGACTCGTCGACGTTCTTGCTTGACGAAACAAATAGTTTACGAGTATCACCCGTTAAGGCCCTGCAGTGACGTGCATTTCGCCGATTTAACTTGTATCACGTTGTGACACCCACGGTCGTTCTCACGATACAGGAGGAGCCGCGCACTCGTGCGCGGCGGGTCATACAACGTATGACAAAATTTAACGAAGTGTGGTTGCGAGAATGGAGAAGCATTATTTTATATTGGATGCGCGGCCCAGTAGTGCATTGCGCTACAAGAAAATGTATATCATTTTGGTAAAAGACACGCGCTATATACAATATATTTCCACCAAAAGTTGCACTAACCAAAGCCCTCTCGCTTGCAGTAGCGCGCGACCGCCGAAGGCGCGCTTGTGAAACAAGCGCGTCACGCAGTACGCGTATACACATGGCTATGTGAAACCAAAAGTATTAACGGGTGATACTTGTAAAATATTTGTTTCAAATATTAAGACCGTCGCCGCGCGTCGACGAGTCCAACTCGGCGCGCGTTTTGGTAGGTTCGGTTATAAACCTACAACCAAAAGCACATGGCGCCAAAATCTGACAAATTGTAAAACTCCCAGGAAACCGTACTGTTAGGGGCCTAACTTCGGAAGTAAAAGAGATAGAAACGTCCGGTTTTCAACAAAATGTCCGTCTCGTAAAACTAAAGTAGGCTCCCCAGGAGCCAAATTCAAAACAATGTAGATTTTGAATTATCGCGAAAAGTTTGATTTTGGGCTAAATAAAAGATCGCAGCTTTTAAACTTTGTGAAGTAATGTCGTTGTCATGACTCCATATTGTAATTCACGCGAGCGAGCGAGCGATCATGCAGTGAACGTTACGTCACGCGCGCTGACACACGTGCCATCGAAAAACAACCACCTCTAGTACCACGGCCAGCCGGTAAGCTTTTCTGGGCTGAAATTAACGTTTTTAATGTTCAAATATGTTTTTACCTGGGGACCTCAGGCTAATATGTTCATAAACCGAATAGAGATTAGGCAGAATGACA